CACAAAGCGTAAGACTAATAGAGGATCCTACCTGGAACCTAATTCCTTGACGCAGTTCAACTAATAGGCATTGGCTCTTGGGCTATTGATTGTGATTGAAAAATGAGAAAAATAAATGGTAATAGAGCTCTGTCTAACAAAATCCTTGAAATTAAATTATTAATCAACTTTGAGTTATGCTATTTTTAGCTGAGCAATGTCAGAGTGTCCCGAAGCTACAGACAATTTAAACACCTACCTCTGAATTCAAGTCAAAGATAAGATCATCTCCGAATGAGAGCCACTGCCTCAAAACGTTGACCCTGCTTGGCTGCTTCCTCTCAGTATATGCAATATCATCAAGCGGGACATGAATTGGTTTTACTACATTGGCTGGATATGAAAAAGATTTTCCTATTTAGATCAATGTGATATTTGACATAAGGGAGAATGGATATATTTAAGAAAAGCTCTAAAAGGACAAAATAGATAGGTTTTGATTTTCATATACCTTTGGTGAATTACTTGTAAAGATGATGAAGTTCTCAATCTCTTTTTTTAAGGAGAAAAAACTATCAGGTAAGGTCTACTATGTCATGTCATTTTATATTTACCGGCCTGTTCAACGATTTATATCACTAAATAGTTTTATTCAATTAATCAATCTATCAGTTTTCATGAATTTTCCATTAATTTATCCATTCTTCAACAAAAAGAAATTAACGTATCTGTTAGTTGTACATTTTTACAATTACATAGTTACTTGAGTATCTAGTAAGAAAAGTTACAATTAAAAAATGATTCATTAACAGAGCGTACGTACGACTAATTAATTATCAAAGCACAAAAAAGTTGGGCTTTATATTTTGCCTGATAGATTTTTTTTTCTTAAAAAAAGTTATTGATGATGAAAAACACCTATATTTTACTATCTTTACTAGTGATTAACCAAAGATGAGAATCAAAACATATTTACATATCACTCTATTAATTTTGTTATTGCAATCAAAGTACACCAAATGGTTACAATTGTTCAGTCACCGAGTCTTAATTTTAGTTTAGTTTGTTTTGAATTTTTTTCCAATGAATTTTATGTTTATTTTTATATTTAAAATCAAATCTTGCCCTCAACGTTAGAAAGTTTTTACTTTCTATATATTGGGTTTTCTACCGATTTAACAATTTTTTAGTTAAACAGTATCGTCATTGTTTTAAAATAGCCAAAATGTAATAAATTTTTACTATTAAAAATCACATGATAAATATACTTAAATGCTACTGTAGCTTGGTTGAATGAATAGATTATAAGTAAGATTATTCTAGCGTTTCATTACTGAATATGAGTTAAATTATTATATAAATCATCGTGAAAACGTAGGGTTTTTTTAAGACATTATTGGTCATTTTAGACATCTACTTAATATCCATCAAATTAAATTTGAGAAAAAGACGGGAGAAAAATTCTATCCAATTATCAAACATCAAGGTATTAAATATTAAATAAAAATAGGTGATCATTAAGGATATTAGTTAAAAAAATAAAAAATTTAAAATATTACTAATATTCTGATTTTTATAATTAATTTTAATTTTTTTTAATAATGTCTTTACAATACTAGTCGGCGAAACCATAAAAATATGCATCACGTCCCTCTCCTCTTTGTATTCGATGTCCTAAATTTATACATCGATACTATATATAAAAAATTCTTTATTTTATTTTCAAATAGACATTAAAACTTTGATATTTTTATGATATCTTTTTTCAATTTCTTAGCATCCAAAACATAGTAAAGGTAAATGACCCTAAATCCTAAATTATATAAAACTTTTCTAACTTAACAAGTAATTTTGAGTTTGAATACTGTCGCATTAAATATTTAAAAGGAAACACTTTTAACAATCAAAATATTTTTATTTAACGTAACCAAATTTACTTTCGATTAAAGATAGCCTCTGGACCAAAAAAATAAAATAATATATTAAAGGTGAGAACAGCATGTTAGAGTCGTGAAAGAGTGAGAGATGTTGGGGAGGGTGAGTCTGATCACATTCTTCAAAGACCAAATTATATAAGATTCACACATGTAGACAAGATGGTCCAATAACTTGGCCGCCCATGTAGCCGTGCATGAAAGAACAACTTTCCCCCAACATCCCCTCCACTTGGAAACTTGCATTGATGTTATCTCAACAACCTTCACCTATCTCTCATAAATCATACCCAAGATGCACTCTCGAAATTAAATAGCTTTTAATGTAGCATAAATTCTGAGGTTTACAAAATTGTATTTAGGTACTTTGTCAATTCACTAATTCACTTACAATAAAGTATTAAAGGGAGTTTTAACTAGAGTAATTTCGTTGTAACACCACCGTTTTAGCTTATCGTACAAAATTTCCTTCGAGAAAATATCAGTTCAATTGCATTTTAACAATTTTACCATTTAACTAGTTTTTAAAAATGTTAAAAACTATGATTATCAATACATTCGCACAATTGTTGAAGACACTAGTTAAGAAGGCCCATTATATAATACATCAAATTTTATCTTATCAACATTGACTTACGTTTTTAAATTGCCTGTACATGGACTAAAACAATTGTAACAAATGAGCATTTCGATAGTTCTACCTGATGTATAGTTAATGGGTTGGCATCTTTTATCTTAAGATTATAAAGAGTGCGTTCACAGCCAAATCATTGGAGTAAAAGAAAAACAGTAGACAGCCAAATCAACAGTAGCTTGTGTAACAACTAACTACTCTCAATAAAGAAACGAAGGAATGACAATGCATATCAAAATCAAGGCAAATACTACTTAGCCATACGCCAGGTAAAAGATACGAAGGAATGGAAATCAGGGAGATAATACACGGACTTTAGCTCATCAGATAAGAGCTTTGTAGTAAGGGTATTCAACTGGATATCACCATAAATTGCAATAGAGAAAAGGAGAATAACCTTGAGTAGAATCAGGACATTAAAAAATTGACCTATTATCAAATGAATTGGTTTTCAAGGAAACATCAATGTTGGTTGTTGATTAGAAAATGAAGGTAGAAATCTCAACATGTTATATTCTCATGGTCAAAAGACACAAGCACAACCACATAAAATTACCATAAAAAAACCAACATAAGATGTAATACATTGTGGCTAACTCACAAAAATGAGGCACGGAATGAGAATTCAAACACGATCATTAAAGGTATTGAACACCCCTAGAGAAATACCTTTCTCAGGTTTTCAGACAAGTAACTCTACAGTCTCTAAGAAATGCAATGAGGACATTATCGCCTGCAAATTTAAGAGGGAAGGAAATAAACATGACAAACCAACACTACCCATATATTTAATCCTCGATCAAAGAACCTATTCAATAAGAATAGAGGCCAATAGAATGGAACCTTATTCCCCAAGAAAACTGGACCTTTTCTCTTTCAGTTCATAAAAATCCAAAGAGTCCATCGTACACAAATCATGCTATACAAGACATCAAACAAAGATGCCTACGCTATGATGTTCAGACAATAAAATAAAAAGAACAAGGCATAACAATTGCCTTGCATCACTTGCAACCAGTCCAGTGTGCTGCTCCTCATCACTACGCCAAAATGATATTTCGTAATAAGAAAAAATCAAATAATGAAACAATAAAGGGTAACTCACCACCCGGTTATATATTTCAGCTGAAGAATCAAGACTAAATACTAAGTGACAATATATATTACACTATTTCAAGATCCTTATTTTCCCTACAAAATACACATCATCTAATAAGCAAAAAACTCAGATTAGGATGATGATCCATTCTAGTTAAGTTCGTATTTCTACTGAAAGTACAATCTCAGAATACAATCACTAATATGTAAGCAATTAGTACCAAATGTGTCCATAAACAGCACACATCAACAAATGATACACTGTCACTATAATTCTATAATGATTTTTAAAATATGAGATGCCTTCTCTTGTTCTAACCACCCTGCGCTATCTGTGCATAATAACATCCAAAGCTCCTAAAGAAATATTAACCAGAGTAAAGTGTAATCTGAATACATAGATGATTGATCCAGAATGAGAAATATTTATTATATAAGAAGTCATTAAAGAATCATTTTTCTGTGCATAGAAAAGTCTAATCGCAAGATTAGGGATCTTGGTAATTAAATGTAGTAATAGGTCCAATCTGCTCTAGAACATTGCAATTTATGTGGTCCTACAAATTAGATGTTTTCAGGTCCTTTTCATTAGATTAGTAAAGCGTTACCACTTACAAGTTAAACTTAAGTACTTAACTGTTCCTAAAGACGGGCTGAAGGGCACACCCTTCATTTCTAGGATTACATTGGATTCTGAGATCTTTTCAGACATCCAAGGAGGTTGATTCCTCCCATCTCCAAACCAAGTCATTATCTTTTTCCATTAATATCATATTTCAGTTTAAATCCTTGGTTGACATCACACGTTTTCATGCAATCCGTTACACAATAATATAGAGCTTGGTCCAGTCGTAACTCCAACTTTCCTAAACCACATTTTCATGTAATCCGTTACCTGCGAATATAGAACTTGGTGCAATGGTAACTCCAACTTTCCAAAAACTTATTTTTTAATAAAGAAAACATAAGAAATAGATTACTTACCATTCACGGGATACAGTATATTTACTTGTCTACATTCTCTGATTGTTTATCTAATTCTAGAACACTACTTGACTTCAAATAGAGAAGACAGCATGTAAACACATCAAACTCAATTGCACTAAAGAGGAGAACGCAGCAACAACTAAGTAACCAGGTTCAATCATCAACAAATAGTTCAATGACTTGCGGGCGTAGCAACCCGCAAGTCAGAGAAGCTTTCTTATAAAATTCAGCAAAAGCAACACCATAGCATGCGTACGAAATTATAAAATAATAATAATAATAATAACTCATTTTAGTCATGACATATACACAAACGATGCTGGAAAGTTGTAATAGAAACAAATTTTAAGAGTTTGGACAAGCCAAAATAATGTCTCGGATTTCCACAAAATTTAGCAAGAGATAACATAGAAGCAAAGGAATCGCATAAAGCCAAGGAAATTCACCACTAAGCGAAGCACATAGAGGTAAACAATAAAACAACTAAAGATGTTCAGGGGAATAATTTATACTCAACATTGGTGGCACAAGAAATAAACAAAGTTCTACAGATAGATCATCATACTATAAAATATTAGAATATAAACCCTCAACAAGGGAACCCTAACATACTATAATCCCAAGGATCAGGTTTCGGATTCGGCGGCAGCAGGGGCGCTCTCTGCGGCGGAGGAAGGAGTAACATCGGAGGTAGGGTTCTGATCAACGCCGTTATCGACGGCGTTGGAACCTGTGGTAGCTCTGGCCTTAACGGTGTCAAGCATCCGTTTGCTGATCTCCTTGGAATATACCTGGAGGATCTCGATGCCGTCGTTGTCGGAAGCGGCGGAACCACCGGCGGCGGAGAAGGCCTCATCCTCGATCTGGCGCGCAGCGGCAGAGGCCTCGTCGGGGGGCATTGTACCGTAGCGCTTGGAGAGGACGGAGGGAGTGGATAGGGTTTCGATTAAGCGGTTGATGACGGCGTCGCGGGTGCGTTGAGTGGGCGGCCAAATGCTGAAGGAGATGCCGGCGGGGGGGAGTTTGGCGGTGGCCGGTGGTTGGTCTTGGTTGTGCTGCTGCGTTGGAGCGGAGTCTTGCTCCGATGCGGCGGCGGGTGCGATTTCCGGGTCGGACATTTTGGAAGGGATAGGAGTTTGCTTCGCAAAAACAGCGATTTGAGGAAGGGCCTGTCAGCGTAGTATAATGTGTAATGGCGAGATTTTTGGGATTTTTTGGGGCCACGGAAGGAAAAGGAAAGGACACGATATTCACTTTTTTTAAGAAAAATAATAAACACCTAAATAAAAAATTATTATTATTAATTAATTGAAAATATGATAAATTCAATTTTAAACTAGTTATTATCTATAATAGAACTATAATATAATAAAGTTTACATTTTTAATATATTTAAGGATATTGAAAACCAGTAAAAAAATTCAAAGTAAACTTTTTATCTTAAAATATTATTAATATGTTTTTTAAAGTTCAGAGCATAATTTTAATAAATTTTTAATTCTTTAACAAATAATCCTAAATACTAGTTAATAAAAACTCTTTGATTAAATTCATAACATTTAAGCATAGGCACGTGGGTTTTTGTTTTTCAGACAAATTCAAATATTTATCTTTTAAATAGTTGTTGAGATTAATAATAATTTTTTGCAAATGATTTAAAAAATGTATTGAACATAATTTATAAAATCTTTAAAAAACTCGTCCAAATTTGTTTTTTGTTTTTTATTATTGTGTCGATTAAGTTTAAAAGTGAAGAAAAATAAATAAATAATCTTAAATAATATAATATACGGAATATTGAAAAGTACAATACAAGAGTAATTTTCTTTTGTCATTTTCTTTCTTTATTTTCTTTGTTTATTGGTCATAACTTTTTTCATTTTCAAGCGACTTAGATGTGGACAAAATGAGAAATATTGGGGGTTGCTTTTAGGATTTTTTTTACACTCCTATTAAAAAATTTGTAAATTTTTTCTTTTTTTATATAATTATGTAAATTATTAATTTTGAAAATTTTATTTTAAAAATAGTTAATAATTTTAGAAATTATTTTTCGAAAGTATAAAAGTTTAAATGTGAAAATTTATTTTTAAAATTGTTTGAATCTTAATTTCTAAAGTTTATGTTTGAAAATAGTCAATAATTCTGTAAATTCATTTTTTAAAATGGTATAATCCAAATTTTGAAAACTTATTTTTGGTATGGTTAACAATTTTGACATTCTTTCTGGAAGTGTAAAAACTGAATTTTGAAAATTATAAAAAAAGTTAACAATTCTGAAAATTAATTTTAAAAATTAACACATGGAAGTGTAAAATCATAATTTTAAAATTTCATTTTTAGAAATAATTAATAATTTCATAAATTAATTTTTGAATGTGTAGAATGCTAATTTAGAAACTTATTGTTTGAACTTGTTAATAGTTTTAAAAATTAATTTCTATAAATATAAAATCTTAATTCAATAAACTTATTTAGAAAGAGAAGTAACATTGATAAGCTAATGGATGTTGACAAAGATTTCATTCTTTATGTTAAAATTATTTTTATAATATATTTAAAATAATAAAAATATCTAAAGAGTAATAATATGTAAAATACATTTAAATAAGCTAATAATAAAGGAGCAATCAAACTTAGAGTAACGAAAAAATGATAATAGAGATAAAGAGTGAAGTTTCAAATGAAATTTAAAATTTAAAGCAAAACTAAAAGATCAATTAATTAAAATTATGGTGTAAAAGACAGAAAAAGGTTGACAAAAGAATCCCTGAAATATTCACAAGTGTGGGCTGAACCTTATTAGTAAGAACTAAAGCCCAAGAAGAAAACATGAGATTGATGTAAAATGAACGAAACATTAATTAGTGATGTTGAGATTCGGGCTGTACCTGATTCCGACCCGAGCGCCACTGCCAAACCCACTACCTCAGCACCTGTCTTATGTCTTGCAGTTCATAGTTCAGCAACTCAAGTTATTACTTATTGCCACAAACCACTGATCCATCATCACAATGATCTCAATCTCTTCTTCTGAATTGAACTACTTAGTCTTCCGTTACCTTCACGAATCAGGTTCCTCCTTGTCCTAATTAAATTCTCTCTTTCTCTGCTTTTTTCTTCATCATAACCATGGTTTAGGAACTTTGCATATTTGATATTGTATGCGATATCGAGGTAATTAATAGTTTAGAGAAATCATGTCGTATAGTGTCGTCTAAAGTGATGGTCATGCTCACATAATTACATATCGTATAATTTTTCCTGTAATGTGATTTTTAATTTTGTATACAAAAGGAAAGGGTATAAAAAGGGGGAGAATAATAAATTTCCAAGTTATTTGGAGACATACGTATTGCTTGTAATAAGTTTAAAGAGCAGAAAACCACCTTTTGTAGTGTAACTTTGGCATTGCGCTCTGTGCTGGTTTTTTTTTTTTTTTTCTTCCTTCTGATATTCAATTTTCTCTCATAACTTTTGATGGCTACCTCGTTTCAGGTTTTACTCATTCTGCTTTTGCATTCGGGTATGAAGCAGGAATCGAGAACAGCAGAATTGATGTTAATGTGGTTCCACCGGGTGCTCTTGTTACTTTCATACAGAAAGGAATTCAATATCTTGAGCTGGAAGCAAACTTGAGTGGTGTAAGCATTTTAATTTTTGGTTGTATGTTATTCATATAGTTGTTACTAACATGCACATAATGCATGCTTGCGGACCTTAAGCTGACTGGTGCTTGCGTTAGGTCTACAGAGTGATGCTGACATGGATGAAGATTTATCATTTCTACAGCCGCTGGATCTTATCACAAAGGACCCATATGAACTACACAATATAGTAAAAGCCAAAAAGGAAAACCTACGTCAGCATAAATTCGAATCAAATATAATAATGAATGAATTGAGTCAGGACGACGGAAGGGAACGTGTTCAGGATACAGAGAAAGAGAGGAAAGAAAAGGAAAATGAACAAAGAATGGAAAAAATACGGTTAGAGAAAGAGACAGAGCAAGTGAAGGGTGAATATAAAGAAGCACAACACACCGATCAAAACCATACAGAGAATCATGAAGATAAGATTATTGTTGAAAATCTGGAAAATAGAGCGCATGGAGGTAAAGATTAATGGATTAGTTTTATTTACCCTTTTATTTATCAGCTATCAATCTTTATCAATAGCATATCAGACAAGGAAAAAAGTATAAATTTTATGGTATAGGGCCTGAACCAATGGAAATCTCACAGAGCTCCATGTCATTGCCTAATGAAACTCCATGTGCTGATGTAAAAATTTTGGAAGGCCATAAATCAGAGGTTTGAACTTATCTGTAAACTGTTTATTATCTTCCCCATTGGTTTACTTCTATTGTACGGCTTGTTGTAAAGTTCTTTCATTCCTGGTAGGTTTTTGCTTGTGCATGGAATCCATCAGGTCCACTTCTTGCGTCTGGGTGAGTACAAGCAACTTTGTAAAGAAAACACCAGAAATGGGAAAGTCAACCCAGTCTATTTTGAACTTTGATAGTAGATTTGTTTTTTCGTTCTGTTCATTTTACTGCCCCAACTTTGTTCTTCTATTCATTAATTGTTGGTTGTTTCCATATCTAGAATCATATTTTCTATTAGTTCCATACAATAACCTTCCAAGCAGGGATACTTCGAGAAATATTGTCTACCCATCCAAGAATTTAAAATTTAATTTCTAACTGTTTATAAGTCTAAGGAAATACTTATATTAATGGACAATTGGATGAATAGCCAGGTTTTGACAAGCATTTTCATGATTTTTAAGTTTTTAGCACCGGTTTGTCCTTCAAATTGAATGAAATTATCAAATTCTTGAATTTTGCTTTCTTATATCTAGTGTTGAATTTAAATTATATTTCTTTCTTTTTTCCTAGCATAAATTAAGATGTCTGCACTTCATATTTATGTACACTCTGACTTAGATCTGCTTAAAAAACAGAGAGTATGATGGTGTAATTTGGCGTACAGTCTTTCATGCTACTTGTGCAGGATCAATAACTAGTAAACAGTATTGACTGTTATACTTTTTTTTTTTTTCTATTGATCAATTTCAAGTTAAAGATTTGGCAATATGTTTTTATTTTTAACCATTCCAGATCTGGAGATTCAACAGCTCGAATTTGGAAAATTGCTGATGGACATTGTAGCTCTAGTGTGCAAAATGAATCAGTAAATGTTGTAGTGCTGCAGCACTTAAAAGAAAGCACCAATGAAGAAAGCAAGGATGTCACAACACTTGACTGGAATGTAAGTCTTTGTAGCATTGTTGTGGTTGCATACTTGCCATGCTTCTTTGTATAATTAACTCTAGTCTTCCTCTTGTGTTCCTATCTTATTCCCCAGCTGATATCTTCCACTATGCTTTTTATTATGCAGGGTGACGGAACTCTATTGGCAACTGGTTCTTATGATGGCCAAGCAAGAATATGGAGTAGAGATGGTGTGCTCTTACATAATTTATTTTACAAATATGCATTTCTTGGCATGAGATGTGCGTTATTTGTGACTCTGGACCTTGTATTCTTTGATGTTAACTGAAGTGTTGCTTTGAGGTTCTTTAGGCGAGTTGAATAGTACACTAAACAAGCACAAAGGTCCAATCTTTTCTCTAAAGTGGAACAAGAAAGGGGATTATCTTCTTAGTGGAAGTGTAGACAAAACTGCTGTTGTATGGAACATAAAGACTGGGGAATGGAAACAACAATTTGAATTTCACTCTGGTAAGTTTGTTTTTTGTATCTGTCTTCTGGTGAAAAGTCTTTTGTTTTTCTGATGGCTGTCCTTGTAATCATAATTATTCCCAAATTGTTTCAGGACCAACTCTTGATGTTGATTGGCGAAACAATGTTTCATTTGCAACATGCTCCACCGATAAAATGATATATGTTTGTAAAATTGGGGAGAATAGACCAATCAAAACTTTCTCAGGGCATCAGGTATCTCTTCCTAATCAATGGTGCTGCTGATGATTTTTTTTATTAATATGCTAACTTTTAATTGGAAACGATACAGTGATTTTCCATGACAGAATAGACTAACATACTCATTTACTATCTGCTATGAGGATATTCAATTACGGTTTTATTCTTTGCTTGATGTTTTGAAATGTTATCATTTCAGGATGAAGTTAATGCCATTAAATGGGATCCAACAGGTTCTTTACTGGCTTCCTGCTCAGATGATCACACTGCAAAAGTAATTAACAGAAAATTAGCAATTTGGTTCACTTTTGTTGTCATATCAATAGAGTGCATCAGTGGAGTGTATAGATTTGCATTTTCATTTTAAGAGAATTTATTATAATGGTATAATGGATAGATAGTATAGATAAGGGCTTTGCAGAAAATAAAATGGGGGTGTAATTGTTGAAAAAAATTATTTATTAAATTTAGTCTTTTATACTTCTATACAAGAAGCATTTCTGGGAAATATGACCTTTTCTGGGCTTTTTTGGACAAGAAACATGGACAGGAAACTGTTTCTGGAAACGTAAACCTGAGTGTCGTTATGCTTTGAAGTATTTGAGTATCCAATTGACTGCTCATAAAATTGTGATGCAGATATGGAGTTTAAAGCAGGACAAGCATTTACATGATTTAAAGGAACATGTCAAGGTTTGGATATATTTTGCTGTGTGCGCATTTTCCTTGCCGTTTCCCTTTATTCTCTTTCTAATAAAGCAATGATCCTTTAGGAGATATATACTATCCGATGGAGCCCTACAGGTCCAGGTACCAACAGTCCCAACCAGCAGTTAGTACTAGCAAGGTAAATAATGCTTCTACTCATGAAAATTGGCAATAGAAGATATGAAAGCGGCTCCTCGTGAAATCCTTTTATTTTAAACCAATGGTTTTGTTTACTTGTGTCCTTGGGGTAGAGGTTGAGAAATAAAAAATATATACTATTCAATGAAAAGTACAAACATTTAATATCTTAAAAATCTAAGATGCATTCAATACCTTTTTTCCGTGAGTACTTTCGATACATAATAAATGTTATGTTTTCTAACCATTTCCCTAAAGGCACACATTAACAAAACCCTTAAATTAATCAATGTTAAAGAGATTTGAATTTTTTTTTTAAAAAAATTGTGTTTTGTATCCCCCTAATGCTTCTTATTGTTATTTTTAAGCAGTGCCTCATTCGACTCCACAATAAAGCTATGGGATGTGGAACTAGGGAGTGTACTCTACAGCTTAAATGGCCACAGGTGCTGAAACTAAATCAACGTACTTTATGAGCAAAATACATACCCACACACCCCCACAAATACATGCTTATTATATGTATGAATGGATCAATTCATTTTTGTCCATGCTAATATATGATATGCTATAAAGCTAGAGAGAAAAATTGTTAGGATCTAATTGCAAGATATAAAACTTGGGTCTCAAATTAGAAGTATGAGATTCTAGTGTGAGATTTATAAGGTCTTGGACTTTCTAATTATAATAACTGGGTTTTAATAGTGTGGTTCTCCGTACTTATAAAAATCAAAAGGAATATGTGATTCATTGAGAAAAATTGAATATGATCTCAGTACAAAGAGAACTACACATACAATTGAGTTAGTGGGTAATCAACAACCAATAATAACTGAAAAGGTAACAGAATATCTAGATTCTAACGGCAACAAACTGCAATTGATTGGATAAGAGATGAATGGTCCAACCAGTATCCTAAGACAAAGCTAGCAATTTCCTATATTTTTAGCATTTTAACACTGGTTTATGTTGCAACACTTAGGGATCCTGTATATTCCGTTGCATTCAGCCCTAATGGCGAGTATCTGGCAAGTGGCTCCATGGATAGATACATGCATATATGGTCGGTGAAGGAGGGCAAGATTGTGAAAACATACGCGGGAAATGGTGGGATATTTGAAGTTAATTGGAGCAAAGACGGTGATAAAGTTGCTGCCTGTTTTTCAAACAATATAGTCTGTGTTTTGGATTTCCGAATGTAAATTACAGGGGTGCTTACTGCTAATATTTATTTCCTCGGTGCCACAAACAGTTACAAATTTTGTACAGGGCCATTTGCAACATTTTCCTACTTTTCTTTTCAACTTTTTCCTGCTTCTAACATATCCTCTTCTACCTGGGTGTTCGGTTACTCAAATATGTAGGAACCATTTTAAGGCCGGCCCTGAAGTAACCTATGGGTGATTTTGTAGGCTTTTAAAATAATTTTGTAATTAATATAATTAACTTTTAAAAATTAATGAAGTTTTGAAGAATATGTATTTATGCTTCAAACGTAATTTTCTTATGCTATTTAAACAGTTCCATTTTTTTTTAAGTGTTCTTAAATACAATCTTTCTTTAAAAATTATTATTTTGAATTTAATTCTTTTAAAATTTATTCAATCCAAATGTACATCGACCACCAATCTAGTTTATTCCAGCGTGTATCGGCTTTAATGTTTGAAACCGACGAGATGGGAAGTGAAGAGTGGGGAGTTGATCAACGAGTACATCGGGAATCAGTAACGGCGTCATGTTCGTCCGTCCAACTTGATGAAGTCCGAAGCATGAATCAAATTGAATAACCTGTTTTGTCACTTCTAGATGTGAGGAAAGTATTTGTTTTTGTAAATTAGTGAATTTTTAGTATATTGATGAAAGTTTTATTAAATTAAAATAAAAATTTAAAATAATAAATTTAATATATTGACTATCTTTAAATTTGACAGGTTTTATATACTAAAATAATAAATATTTTTATAACCCATTTTTTCAGGTATCTCCACTGACAAATTTTTACCCTCACAATTTACCAAACCTTACCCACTAGATCGTGAAAATTGATCATGTAATATAGCCTTCATACACCAGCAATGAAAGACATTTGTATTTCCATTTAATACCCCCAGTCAAAATATACATTACTTTATGATCGATGTGATCTCAAGAAACTAAGCAGTATTACAACTTGATTATAAGTAGTACAACCAAATTATCATTAAAGAAGCAGCTGGCATTCAGCAACAGTAATTAGGCATGTAACTTGAGATCCCTGCAGTTCAAAGGCATAAAGATATCAGTTAAAAATGAGTTAAAGGAACACAGTTGCACCATTTTGAAGAAAACCCAGACATGAAAATCATTCTACATCCCAAACCCATAATCTAAAATAAAGTAACCAAATATATAAGATTCAGTAGCATGTACCTATCCAGAAAGTTCATTGCGAAATGCGGTTTAACCTTGTAATTAACTTCACTGCTGTGTTTAAAACAAAATACTTTTTGGTAGAAGATATCAACTTCCATTACAGCATAACACTTCCAAAAGTGGTGATTTTGCTCAACTATGAGATTCATTTATCATAGAATTCCCACTCCATCACTGATCTTCAAAGTAATGATTTGGTACATATGGAGAGGAAGGTAGGTTTGCCACGCATTTGAACTGTTCCAGTCAAAAGATTTAAACTCACTATATTTGCCGTAATTAGAATTGAAATGTATATAAATCAAAAGAAAGGTGAAAACAACCACCTTATGCTGCTTGTATTTCTCCCGAACAGCTTGGAAGGATGTTGCCTTTCTTAACAAATACAATTCATGCAATATGAGAACACATTCTTTCAACTCAGCTGGTTTGAAACCCGAGCATTCACACAGGGATGAAGTCTGCAAAAGGTTTTCAACTTTTTTTTAGTGCCTTGAAAAACACAGTTACTAACATATTCTTCTTAAAGATAAAGAAAACATATATATCACTACCCAAAATAACAAATATTTACCCAAGGATGCACATCAGGCCAGATAATGAATCTTGCAAGAAATATAACCGAGGCAGCCACAATAGAAGGCAAGAATCTTATACAGTTGTAATCCAACAAACTTAGCTCAGCTATATAGCTGCCCAGAAATTCAATCTGCAAATTTGAATTCTGAAAATAAAAACAAAAATAATTAGTAAACAACACAGTTAAAGCTATTGAGATAACAGCAAAGAATGTGAAAAACAGTTCAACTTACTTTTTGGTCCTTAGAAGCAACACCAGCAAACCTCCTGAAACAGCAATTACACTCAATTAATCCAATTAATTCCATTTCAATAGTACCCTAATCATTCACATTTGCAAAAAGTTCCTACCTTAAAAAGGTGTTCACAGTAGGGCTGCCCAATTCAAAATTAAGGGACTTGAGTATGTCAGCTTCCATCTTCACAACCTACATTATCACCAATAACCAATATGAGGAAGGGAGAAAGAACCCTGAAATAACAAACAAAATCATAACTCCGTACCATTCAAAAGAAAAGAATAGCACATTTACCTCTGCCTTGTCATAAGTGTGATCAGTGATGCTGCAGAACTCTTCCACACGGGGAGGGGTAATTTCCTCATACTTACTGCATATTAACAAAAACAAAAATTAAATTAAGATGCATAATCATGTCAAGAGCCCAATTGTCTGAAAAATAAAAGTAGTTTCTGAAGCCTTACGAAGCAATAAGCATGGAGGAAACACCCAGCAATTGGAGCCTAGATTTGGTCACAGGATTAACTGATAGAAACCTATCAATGTATGAAACTGAGAGATGAAGGGTATCAGAGAGAAGCTTGTACTCTTCAGCAACCTCCACTAACCAATCCACCAATATCCCTCTCATGTTTGCTGTAACTTCCCTCTGAACTTTCTCGATATAATCAGTCCTTGGCCTTCTCTTTCTCTGCATCTGAGAAAGAAGCAACTTAAAGATTAAACACTCGAACAACGTTAATGAAAACTTAGTTTACATTAAAGAATAAGCATTACCTCCATTGTACGAAGATACTTATAGATATCAGATATATAAGGTTCACCAATCTGGGGGTCATCAAAGTTGGCATCAGGAGAAGAAAGGGTCTTCTTTAAGAGAGCTTGTTTCTTGATATTGGGATTCTTCTGACATTGAAGTTTCTCTTTGTGTTTGTTCAAGGTTGCGGGATGTATAAGATTGGGTATATTGGGAAGTTCTCCCAACACGATCCGCTTCTTTTTTAAGTGTTGATTGTGGACTACAACTACATTTGCAGCGTTTGCCTTCCTCTTTGCAGCACGAGTCTCCATCTCCTTAGTGTGTTGTTGATTGGAAGAGAGGGAGAAAGCAAAGAAGAATGGTGGGGTGAGTAAGTGAGAGAGAGTTATATAGAATGGGTGGAGAAGACAAAGAGCGGTTTTTCAAAACATTGTCAAAACCAAAATTGTTTTCGTATGCCGCTACTAAGGAGCCGTGTCTTGAAATTTTGAGGTTTTGGGATTAGTTCAAAATTTGGATGTGTTTGGTTTTGAGTTAAAACTTCGGAGTTATTTTCATATGGCGGGGATGGCGGGTTTCTTTTGCGCCATGCCTTCCAATCAAAATTAGTCAAATGTATTTTATTGCTTCTCTAGTAGTAAGCCCAAATTATTTAATTCTTTTATTTATCTTTTATATCATGTTGAAATCGACAAATATTTTATATAATGGATCAAGATTTAAATTAAATATTAATACAATCCATGATATCACATAATAGGTACATGTGGATTAGTTTTATTTATATTTTATGCTTTAAAAAATAAAAAACATTTTTAATCGGATTAAACTGTTTGTTTGATGGATTGAAAGTAAAAAATATATAAATATAAATATAATATAATATTTTATTTATTTATAGTTTAACTTAAAAAATTATAATCTTAATTTATTATAAGTTATAAGTTTTTAATTAATTTTATCAAACAAATATTTTAGAACATTTCAAAATATAAATAAAGCTAAAATTTGATGTAAAAATATCATATTATATATATATATATGAAATTTTAAAATAAAAATATAATTTATTTTAAATTTTTAAAGAGATCCAAAAATTTTTATTTTTTTTAAATCAAAATAATATCAAGGTTTTACTTTTCTATAAAATTAAAAAAATATTTGTTAATATATAAATCATATAAACAGAAAACAACTTGCACATCAATTGCACCATTTAACATGATATACCAGTGTACTCAATTTTCAACGCGCCAATGCTAAAGTATAAGTTAAGGATATGCAAATTATAAGTCCTTTTGTGTACTTTATGCATAAAAATTATATTTATTTCAAATTTAAAAAAATACATATTTAAATTTTGATATTTTCTATTTTATTTTTAAAAAATCCAAAAATTTTCACAGCGCCATTCAAACCACTATCATTTTGTCAAATGATTAAAATTAAAATAGAGGGAATGGCCCTCTTGATGTTCCCACTTTCTTATAAATCTTAAAATGACTCCTTCCAAAATCAAATATTGTTTCCTTCTTTGCGCTGAGTGAAGCCAATGGAGACTGGAGTTCCAAAGAGAAGGGCCAACCAATCCCAAACTCAACCCCTCAAAAAACAAAGAGTTGTTTTGGGTGAACTTTCCAATTTGCCCAATCTCATTGTTCCTCAACCTAAACCCCTCAATAAAGCACCCACCACTAACAAGAATTTGAACAAAACTGTTGACAATGTTGTTGATTCAAAATCAAACATCAATGGCCTTGTTGTTTCCGAGATCTATAAATATCTTCGCAAGTTGGAGGTACCTTTTTATTATTATTATTATTATTATTTCAGCAATGTTGTTGGATAAAACAACCTTTATATATGTATAATTTTCGTTGATTTTGATATTTATTTTTTAGATGGAGATGCGAAGAACAGTGTTTGACTACATTGAGAGAGTTCAGACAGAGGTTACTACTAACATGAGAGGAATATTGGTGGATTGGTTAGTAGAGGTTGCGGAAGAGTACAAGCTTCTTTCGGATACCCTTCATCTTGCGGTTTCGTATATTGATCGGTTTTTATCGGTTAATCCAGTGAGTAAACCAAAGCTTCAGTTGCTGGGTGTTTCCTCCATGCTTATTGCATCGTATGCTTCAGACACTACTTTATAATTTTGCAAATGCCGTTTACTCTAACGGCCATAAGCATCATTGTTTTATTTATATTTTAAAATGTGCAGGAAATATGAAGAAATTAATCCACCCCACGTGGAAGAGTTCTGTTTCATCACTGATAACTCATATAACAAAGCAGAGGTAAGTAAATTGTTCTCAGTAATAGCCGTGTTGAATTTTATTTCGTTCTATTTTGTTAATGTCCCTTCAATTTGGTTCTCATGGTTATTATTTACAATATAGGTGGTAAGTATGGAAGCTGACATACTCAAGTCCCTAAATTTTGAACTGGGCAACCCCACTGTTAAGACATTTTTAAGGTGATTACCCTGTTGTTGCAAATTGCAAATATGAAACATATAAATTCAATTGGAATGACAGGGGAATAATTATGTGTACACAGGAGGTTTACTGGGATTGCTTGTGAGAATAAAAAGGTGATTTTGATTTTTCATTCCATATGGTGTTGGCTATTTCACAGGCTTTTGTTAAGTTTACTAATTGTTATAGTTTTTTTTTTTCAGGCTCCAAATTTGCAGTTTGAGTTTATGAGTTACTATCTTGCCGAGCTAAGTTTGTTGGACTATTATTGTTTGAGGTTCTTGCCTTCTTTGGTGGCTGCATCTGTAATATTTCTTGCTAGATTTATCATTTGGCCTGAACTTCAACCTTGGGTATGTATTTGATGGTATTGATAATAACTTTTTATGTAAAAGAAGTTGCCAAATTAAGGGTAAAAGACATTTATGAATGTGTTTGTGTGACAGACATCAGCTCTGTGTGAATGCTCTGGGTATAAATCAGTTGACTTAAAAGAGTGTGTTCTCATCTTGCATGACTTGTACATGGCAAGGAGGGGTGGGTCTTTCCAAGCTACAAGGGAGAAATACAAGCAACACAAGGTTGATTATTTTCACTTGCATTTCACTTGCTTCCATTATGGCAAATTGAATGACTTTAATTCTTTATACTGTGACAGTTTAAACACGTAACGAACCTGCCTGCGCCTCGACATGTACCTTTTTATCTCTTTGAGCAATAGTGATGCAGTTGGATGGAACTTGTAAATTTTTTGAAGTGGTTCAATGGGTGATGGGACTTGCTCCCTTTTGCACCAGACGCATGAAAATTTCAATTTTGGAAGTTACATGGTGAAAGGCAATCAACTTCATTGCCTAATGATGTGGTCTCTTAGACAACAGATTTTGTTTAGTTAGGTATTGATATTGTACTACCATTCGCTTTAAAGTGTGGTGTAATATGTAAGTTTCACTTTAGTTAATATTTAAATATTGTACTTGATAAAATACTATTCAGTTTCAATGATACAAAAAAGAATTTGAATACTTTTTTGGCTTAAATAAAACGAGCATCCTTTTAGTCAGATTAAAAATGAATTAAAAGATAATTGAATTGATTAAGGTAAATAATTGGGTCATTATTCACTTAATTAGAAGGTTAAAGACAAGGCTGATTTACAAAGTCTATTAGTTCATAAAACTATTTATAAAAGGAAAGTAAGATACAAGTAAAGATTTTAATTTTTGAATAATAGTATTTACTATTTAAACCGACATTTGACTTTATCATTAGAGTATTTTTTGTAGGTACATCTCTCACATCAAACAGAGAAAAGCCAGTGATACTTGTAAGAATGCCATCTTATCTCACAGAAGAGGAAATTTGAGAAGATCAGTGTATTCTTAGCAGAAACATTTTAGTACCCACTGTAGGCCATGATTTGCCTCAACTTTGATTAACTATGGTGCTAACAAGGAGTCAACATGAAGGACAGAGCCAGTAATGGAGAACCTCTCATCAATAGGAAGATACTACACCCATACCTGAAGGAGGAGGAAATGAAAACTTCTTTTCGATAGTAAGACAGTTGAGGGTTGAAATGATAGAAATGCAAAGATTGAGGGAAAAAGACATTCTAGAGTTATTAGTTTTAAGGAAGAAAAATGCTAATTTAAGAAATGAAATCATAACTTATATTCCTTCTCAGACTACCCCTTTTGTTCAAGAGTAAAGAGAATCTTTGGCCTTGCAAGAAAAGTCGAAAACTTCCTTTTAAACAAGAACTACTTCCATTGAACGACACAAAACATCAAACCAGAGCCCTTTCATTCAGCTTATCTTGGAAGTTAAGTTACCAAAAAATTGGAGGGACCTAACATTGGAAAAGTATGACGGAACCTTTGACTCCGAGGAGCATTTGAATATTTTTACAACTCAAATCGGCTTGTACACAGATAATGATGCATTATTATGCCAAATCTTTTTCACCTCACTTTATGGACCAGCTCTCAATTGGTTTATCAGGTTACTCCCTATCTTTAAGTTTCCTAGCAATCATATCCAGCTCATTTACAATATCATTCAGCCGCAAAGAAACTTTTTCAAACTTTTCAATCTCATTGAGATTCCCAACCTCAAGAGAAGTAGTCAGTCTTGCTAGATCCGACAACGAATCCTCCCACTCGATGGAATAGGCCATAAGAAGGATAAGAAAAGAAAGTAAGGATAAAATAAAACAAAGCGTACCTTCAAGAAATTCTCAAAAAGAAGAAAGGAAAAGCTTCCAACAATATAAGCACAACTTACCCTTCGGTTTAGAGCAAGAAAACGTATATGATACCTGGACCACTACATATTTATAAAACATAAAGTTTGGGCAAATGAAGAGTCGCACCGCTCTCCAATCGTCAGATCTTTTTCAGATTAACGGATACGAGCGACCAACCTTTCATTTCAAAAGCACGAACCACGATAAAACCCTAATTTGCTGAAACCCTAAGACCCTTAAGATATTAGCATATTTTAAAACGACACCACTTGATCTCATCTATAGAAGAAGGAATCTGAATACCTCTTCGGCCTACTCAACTGAAGCACCAACATATTTTAAAACTTAATACATTATCGGTCAAACCATATCATTTTCACCTAAATGAAGAGAATCATGACACAAACAAAAAGGGTCAGCAGGACTTAACAAGCCCTTAAGTCGGGCTAGTGTACTAGATAAGATACCACTAGGTCTCAATGATAAAAGAAGGAATTTGAATACCCCTTTGGTTTAAATAAGACGAGCACCTCCCTCTGGTCAGATTAAGAATGAATTAAAGGATAATTGAACTGATTAGGGTAAATAATCAGGTCATTATTCACTTAATTGGAAGGCTAAAGACAGGACTGACTCATAAAGCCTATTAGTTCATAATACTGCTTATAAAAGGAAAGTAAGAGATACAAGTAAAGAGTTGATTTCTCAATATTCAATAATATTTATTGCCTAAACTGACACCTGACTTTATCATTGAAGTGCCTTTTGCAGGTACACTTCCCACGTCAGACAAAGAAAAGTCAATGACACTTGCAAGGAGTTTTGAGAAGACCAATATATTCTTAGCATGAACAAATATTAACTAATATGGCAATGCTTTTGGGCTTTTTAGCAATTTTAAAAAATAAATTTTTGAAATATGATAGTTATAAAAAAATTTAATAGAATGTGCAAATATTACGATAATTGATAAGATAATTAATTAGATTATGTGTTCTTACTTTTTTTTTAAATATATATTTTGTAATATAGTTATATAATATATTAAGATTCAAAATTTAAATCTAAATAAAGTAAAAATAATGCCTAAAAAGAATAAAAATTAGCAAAATAAATAAATAATGCAAAATAAGTCATGTAAGGTAATAAAATTATTTTAAAAAGTATTATTTTAAGAATTGAGTTTTAGTTTTAATATATCGAGGTAGATTAATGGGCTGTCTTTAAATATAACAAGCATATAATCTTCAAAATTTAGATCAAATTTATTATTAATAATAATAACATAGGCCTATATAATGATACTATTATTACTGTACTATATATATACATTCATCTAATTTAAGCATTCTTTAGATAATTAGAAATCCAACTCTTTTAAATAGATCTTTAAAAAAGACGTAATAAACAGAGGGTTCGGTTTAATTGCTTTTCTTATTTTATCTTATTTCTATATTTATTTAATTAATAAAGCCGGATGTATCTCATTTTTTTAGCCTAAATTTTTATCTTGTAAAAACTCCAAATTAAAAATAAATAAAATAGAATAACATAGCAAGTCAAATTTTATGATATTAAATTTCAAACTTGAATAGCTACATTATTTAATAAGTTTTTATATAAAAATAAAATTAATAAGTACTTTGTAGCATTATTTTAGTTTAATTTATAATATTTTTAACATATAAATAAATATCAACTTTTAAATAACATACTTATGTATATTTAAATTATATAAAATTTGATATGTATGATTATGAAAATAATATTACATGATTTAATGACTGAAATGATTAATTTTATATTTTATAAAAAATTATTATGCAATATAAGTATTTAAACTTAATATTTAGTGTTGATGGATTATAACTTATTTTGTTGTTTCACATGTGCATTAACTATAAAATAATTAAGATTAGATCATCTCTCATTCCTATATTATGTTATTCTTATTCAACTCATGTTTTTAATGAACAATTAAATTTATTTTCATCCTTAATTACAAACACATACAGTGAAAATAAAATTGATTAGAGATACAAATGCATAAACAAGAAGGAACACACGTCATGCAAGACATCTAATTTCATCAAAACTTCTTCGTAGGAAACAACATTTTTGTTTTGCGCTCAGATTCATCAAGCTACGGAGTACAACTTAATAAATGGCTACAAGTCATACACATGAAAGCGAAAAAACAATGACATAGAAAATATTTTATTTCAGCTGCTAGCTGAGGAAATGTACATATTCATGTTTTCCCATTTTTATCTGAGTTTATATTTTCCAGTAAAAAATATATGTAGAGACTTCTTATAATGTTGGTGGTGATTGGGTATTAAAACATTTTATGGGATAAATTGAGAAAAATACTGTTCTAGTTGTTCTCCTTCCCTTGTCTGAGTTGTCTCTGCAATAGATAAAGATCCACTCCCTGCCAATAGTTTAAACATCAATAATACAAAGCAATGGCTCCAAATCTATATTTGTTGATAATTAAGCATCAATAAACGCGACAAGTTTGTGAAGCAAAAAGTAAATTTTCACTAATTAAGTTTATCTTCAATTAATATATATATACAGTTGGGCAGCTCTATCCAAATCAAATTATTACACAACTAGTTACTTTTTTCTAAACCAACCCAACAAGTTACTTTTAATAAAATTATATTGTAGTAAGTACCTAAAGGACGAAGGTGCTCCCAAGAGTGCAGAAGGGTCGAATTTGGCGCTAACATATCAACAACAGCATTATTGTTTGATTGTTGATCTCTGAGTGCAGAAAGAAAGAGAGAGATGAACAATTTGATGCAAATTTTGTAGGAATTGACAAATGGAGCAATGGCAATAAAGAGTACCTTACAGGAGCAGAGTCGTAAGCATTAGCAAAGTTCAAAATCTGAGGACGTGGATCTCCCTGTGAAAACCAATCTACTGGATTCTTTGAGGTACTGGTAACAAATCCATTTTCATTTACAGTTTTTGGAACATGTACCTAATGATATTTAAATAATAGTTGCAAGTTGGAATCAAAGATTAGCTGCAATAAACATATGTTATATACATAGTTCTAAATTTAACAAAATGATCATATATATTATTAGTTGTAACCTTGTTTCTAATAGTCTCTCGTGCATGGTAATAAAGAATACCTTTCTTGAAAAACGTGTCCTATATTTTTAGGGGAATAGAATCATTATAGACGTGTTCGGCACACATTTCTATGATCATTATAATTCCTTAGCTAGATACTTCTGTTAATAGACTCTGTTGTCAAAAATGCCTTTGCTCATAGGATTTTTTGTTTTTTTTGATAAAATTCCATTGTAATCGTGTTTGTCTTTTAAAATTAAGTTTCGATCTTACATATACAAAGAAGCACTTTAGGGTTTATTTGTTTTATAAATGAATAGAATCAATTTTGAATTGTTGAACAAATTTTAAAGATGTGACCAAATTAATTTTAATGATATATATATAAGTATAAAAATTAATATTCTTTTGCGCCAAATTAAAACAACCGAGGCTTAATCAAATATCCTAAGAAAAAGGCTTCATCAAATTGTCGATTACGTCATTTTAAAAAAAAAAATTATCAAGTGAAAAAATTAAATATTAATTTATAAACTCCTTGTCAGTTATTTTTTTCAGAATATATATAGAACGGGGTGATTACAGAATGTTAATATAAGGTGTATTTATCAAAATTCATTAATAAATTAGCTAAAATTAATAAATTAATTGGTGAAATTAAAATATTTTAAATAAATAAATTTTTAAAAATTGATAAGTGTAAATTAACATAAAGAAAATTATTTAATTACTTAATTATAACTTAATAATTATCACTTTTTATATTTATTTATCTTAAATAATTAATTATCTTCAAAATCACCAAAATAATTTTATTTATTCTTATTTTTAAATACTTTTATTATACAAAATGATATTATATTATACAAAATAATATTTGTGGCGTGTGTGAGAGGGGGCTAGAGACTTATAAACTGAAAAATTTAAACGAAGTAAAATTTTAAAAAGCATTATAGACTAATAAATAAGTTTTTTTACTACTTTCCCCCAAAAAAAAAAGTCTTTTTAAGAAATTTTTTTTATTTAAATAAATTTATGTTAATCAAATAAATTAAAAAGGTTATACATCCCAAAATTCACTCTTAAGTAAGCTTAATCTTTATATACCTGTGGAGATTGAGAGGCACGATAACTGTTATCTTCTTCCAAAACACACTGTTCAAGACAAAATTGTAAGTTGCTTTCTAATTTAGAGACATTTCACAATTCATATAAATGATTAACTTATTTAAGTACATTGTACATAAAAACAGTAGCAGTAGTAAATTTATTGTGTGGCTGCTGTTAACGGTAATTAATTAATCAATGAAACTTACTTTTTGTAGTTGCACTTGTGTTAGTGTTTCCCGAAGAACATGTTCACGATATTCAGCCTCGCACAACGTTGTGATCTCAGAAGGATCACCTTCAAATATCCTAAAAAATAATGTGACGGTAAACATGCTATATTCCTTCACCCATAATTAAATTATAATTTGTTTTTTGGTCTGGATTGATGATAAATTGTTAGCAACGATAAATGAAGTCAAAGGAACCTTAGTCTCTTCTCCATCTCTTCCAATTGAGACTTGCAAATAGATATTTCTCTTTGAATCTCCTGAAGAATTCGCATAGAATAATCAGTTATACACACATATAACATCAATTGAAGTTGGAAACAGATCACAGGGTGATATACAATGCTTGCTATAACAAATACCTCAAGTTGAGAATCTGGAGTCATTGGGCTGCATAACAACACGATCAAATGTAATCATTAATAAAAGACTATGATTCAAACCCCAGTAAATAACAAAAAACCAAACTAGATCTATTGAAAATACCGTGGGGCTTTGCATATTTGATCAGCTTCAATTTTCAACCTAGTGAGCAACTTTTTAACGTGCTACAGAGAATGAAAAAATTGAAATTTCAGAATAATATTCCCGACAATCTTCTAATACTGATGTTCAGTTCAAAACCTTATGTGATGTAAGATTTGATTACCTCTTGATTGTGCATCCTTCAGAGTTGCATGGTAACAAGAGTTTACATTAAGTCCATATGGCCGATGAATCAAAGGTGACAACATTACGATAAAATTAATTAGTATCAATCATTATAAATGTGACAAGAAACCCTTACCTTCCGTGTTCAGTCTCCGGAAGATTAACATATCGTTCTAGAATTTCCTCAATACTTCAAAACATATATTAAAAAACAAAAAAAGAACGAGTCATTTTGATTTTTCAATGGAAAACAAAACTTTTGAAATAAAATATATAAAATCGATAAACGAATTATCAATAAAGTAAACAAAAACATGCAAAATGAAAAAATGAAAGCATATATACGTTTGATTTAAATTAAATATATTTTTTATACTTATCTGATTTAAAATCAACAGTAAACACAGATTATTTTTTTTTTCTTACACATCCTTTCGCTTCACATTAATTACATCCTAATGGATAATAATAATAATAAAGAAGCACACACAAATGCATACATGGGAATAATTAATTCGAACCTTCTATTGCCAGAGAAGAGACTGGCTCTCCCTGATGGGGAAAACATGATGAGAGCCACATCAACATCACAGAGAACAGAAAGTTCGTAAGCTTTCTTGATTAGTCCATTCCTCCTCTTTGAGAAAGTGACTTGCCTATTTGTTGTGTTCTCAATCTTTTTGATCTGAAGCTTCACTCTCCCCATATTTCACCTTGTTCTCTTCACGAGAAGCCTATAAAATATATAGGAAAAGGAAATAAAAATAATAACTAAAGATGTATAAATTAATAAGAGGTTGAGCCAAACCACATGTTACCCTATGTGAACTGCATCTGGAAACAAAGGCGGCAACAGTAGAAGAAAACAAGAGAAAAATAGGAAGAAATGTAGGCGATGGATTTTGTCTTTGTCAGGCCATTGACAGAAGGTGACGCCTGGGGACATTAAGAAAGAAAGAGATAGCGGTTTGTATGCAGATAACTTGAAAACTTCACAACCATGCTGTTTTTCCCAAGACTAGTATATTATTAAACATATAACTAAGAAATTAATGATAAAAACGTTTCATTACATTAAAGATACATAAAAGAAATAATAAAATTATATTAATTTTTAATAATTTTGTATAGTTTATTTATTAACCATTGTTTTTAAATTATTTGTCAGGAATTTCTCTCTGTGTTAATTTTGCGTAGATGTTTTCCCATCTCCTTGTAAATTTGCTTATTTTCCTACTGCTGCCACGCTGCGGCATAGCATCTCCCAAGAACTGATTTTGAAGAGGTGGTGGGTGTAAAAGTAATTAATGTTTATAATATTAAAGAGAAAACAATCATTTTTATAAATTTTAATTAATAAAACTTACAATGTGAATTCTAATTGAATAATTTTTTTAACATAATCATATTATGTCACGCGTGAAAATGATTGTCATAAATTCATAGCTTGAATCAAATGAGAACAGTGAAGATTTGTCCTTAGGAAGCTGCATTTCGTGTTGAGAAGAATGTGAAGAAAGAGGGGGAAAGGGACGAAGTTGCTGTGATTTCAACTTTCAAGCATGATGGAAGAGGGAGGACGATCGCGCTTGAGTCCATTATAAGCCCATTGTGTGGCTCTCTATTCCAATTATAGATTTTGATGGGTAAAACAATTTAGTTTGTATACTCAAAATACGCAATATAAAATTAAAATCAACATTTAAGTATGAAATATTTGAATCCTGTTATAGGTACGGACTGTTATATATAATTATTATGAAAAATTGAGCTTACAAAAAGAGAATGGAATTGCCATATATTTAAATCATTCAATACTTTAATAAAACAATGTTAAATATATTAAAAATATCATAAAAATTATATTTTTAATAAAATTTTTACTTTAATTTCTTAATCAATATTCTCACAAGATTGATTAGTATTTTCACTTAACTTAAAGCGTTAATAAATTTGTGTGCGTCCCTCATAAAATTTGCACGTGGGTCAAAGTTGAATATAGATGTAACAAAATCTCGGGAGCAAACAATTTTAAAACATTAAATTAAAAAAAAGGTTGCAGAACTGTATTGTTAGGTAAAATAACAGTTTTATAAATACACAAACATTAACATTATATTATATTATTTTTATTTATTTATTACTTACTTTTTATATTTTTACACTGACAAATATATATATATATATATATATATATATATATATATATATATATATATAAACATTTTCCTTAAAATAACATAATAAAGACTACCAAACATTCTAAATATCTACCATTCAAAATACCCGCCAATCACAGCACAAGCGGTTGGTTGAACAGTTGAACTTGACTTCATAGAAGAACAGTGAAACGAGTTAGTCACAAATTAAGTCCAATCTCCACTTCTCTTCCTCTTCATGCTTTTTCGAATCACTGCCTCTGCTATGTTACACCGACCCATGTACCCCACACGGTGGCGACGGCTACCTCCTCCTCCGCCGTCTCAGGCTCAGCGGTCGCAACACACTTGGACCCACATACTATCTCCTCTCACCATTTGGATTTGTGGCATGTAATTTTTCATCATCTTTATGGTCCCCTTATTCCCTTGACCCCCTTTTCTCAAGCATTGTCTTTTTTTTTTTTTTTTTTTTTTTGTGTGTGTGTGTTTCCGTTTTGCAGTTTCACTCACACTCCGTTATGGGTATTACGGGGATTCTCGTATCCTTCTTGGGCCTGCTTCGTCGCGTTTGTTGAAGGCCAACTCTGTTTTTGTGAAGCGGATTCATGTATCAAATGAGGACAGTAATAATCAAGTTATTCTTCATGCCTTCAAAAAGAAGCCCCAGTTAAGCTCCGAAACTAATTGGACAACGTTGAATTTCTTCAATATTGCAGCGTATAGAAAAAAGGTAACATTGTCATAAGGTTTAATTTGGTTGGCTTAAGCTGTCACAAGAGAATGGGCATGAAGATATTGGTTTTTCAACTTCAGGGGATTTCTTTGTGGTTAAATAAGGGCTCCACCATCCACATTAGGTGGGAATCACAAACTAATAGTAGTTTGAATCAGCTACATGGGATGGTGATCCAAGGTAATTTCCTCTTGAGGGGGAATTTCACGGTTATCTCTTTCTTTTCTTTTCTGTGAGAATGAATCAATTTCAGGTTTGTCTTAAGAAACATGGTTTTTTATTTCACAGGAGAAAATAAATTTGAACGACTACAGCCTAAGCCAACGAGCTTCCCCAATGAAACTAATGGTAATTGATTCCAGAGTTAAGTGCCAAGAGCATTGGCAATAATTTTGAAACTTCATTAGATTAACCTCATGTTAAAGAAATAATTTCCTTTTTCTTTTAAAAAAAGTTAAGGAAATAATTTTTCCTCAATAAAAAAAATCGTCACCAAACATGCGCCAAGATCTCCAGTTCTCCTCTCGTGTGTTAAGTTAAGCCCAATTATCTTGATTAGCATCCAGCTAAAACTATGAAGATTTTAAAAGAGGCAGGATGTGTGTTTGATTTTTTTGTACATTGCTAGGTAAAGAAGCTGAATACATAGTCGAAGAAGATGATAGATACCACATAGGGGTTCTAAACTTGAATGCCAGGAACATAATCTTGACTATGAATGTTAATGTTTCGGCGAAGGTATATGATACCACCACAGCTGAGAAAATGTGCTCTAGTGAAAATGGATCTTGCAGCCTCAGTTTTCCCTTCCCTAACACTCAATATGTTACTCTTACGGCAACTAACAATGTAAGAAAAAAAAAACCTTGTCCAACACATATATCTTTACAGATTTTCACCAAAGTAATACAAACTATGTTATGCCAAATGATTACAGGAAGGTGAGGGACCGTATGCTGAAATTTTTTTCGTGGTTCGTGTGTTGGCTTACATATTACTTTTAGGTACAATTATTAAAATTTGTCTTCTAAAGCCCTAGTTTAATTATATATTTTGTTACTAAAATGCTACATTTTTCTATTTGTAGGATTTATTATGATTGTTGTTTATCTGATTATGAAATTCCTTGGAGTCTATGATGGTAGTGATCAGAATAATTATGTGATAGTGGATACAAACAGAACAAGTAATCTTGTTGCAACACAAACCGAAACTGAGCCGTTGATGCGAGTGGAGTCAACTCGATTGACATATGGAACAAATGCAGAAGATGATGAAGATTCAGGAGCATCCAGTAGCTCTTCAGAGGAGTTATATGATGAAAAATTATGTGTCATTTGTTATGATGAACAACGCAACAGCTTCTTTGTTCCTTGTGGACATTGTGCTACTTGCTATGACTGTGCACAGAGGTACACATGCCCAAGATTTTCATATGCTTTACCTACGTGCATGTTTTGGTAGATTCTCATTAGATTGCATTTTGCAGGATTGTCAATGAGGAGAACAAACTGTGTCCTATATGTCGAAAGCTTATTCACAAAGTACGAAGATTATTTCATAATTAGGCTTATCAAATTGTGTCTTGTAGTGATTTGATTTGAGGGATCAGGTAGATAGGGGGGGAAATTATAGGAAATTAAACATTGGGAGTAGGTTTTGGAAGAGAATGAGTGACGTTATCTTCTCTTGGTGCTACTCTTTCCGGGCTCGACTTTTACGACTTGATATTTTTCGCATTAAGCTGCAGGCCGGGGAATGGAGTTACTATGATTTGAGCAGAGTTAATCTTATCAGCACTAATTGATTTTTACTAATTCACTTCAGGATGCTTGAAAGAGAGGACTTGAATTATGAATTACCCTGTTTCAGAGTTTGTTGATTAGTTCTTGATTCTGGATTCTGGTCAATTATAGAATTTGTCTTGGATGTTATTTCTTATTCCCTCTTTAAGAATATATATTTTTTTAATAACAAACAACCTTCTTTTTTAAATGAAAACAAGTCATTTTGTGTTGAAAATTGTATTCTCACCCTCTGATACGGTCATGGCACTCGACGTCATTTTATATAAAAAAATGTGTCCTCACCCTTTGATATAGTACTGGCACTAAAGTTACTTAGCATAAGAATGGAAGTAGCCACTCTTAAGTCTTAACCTTTAATCTACCAACTGTTAAGCTAAAGTTTACCCCTATTGTTAGTCTGATAGCTGAAACATAGTGATTTGGTCAGTTTGGTGAATAGAAACTTATCGCCACAGTCAAAGAGCCATCCAGTGATAGGAAATGATCATATCAACTTCAGAATAATGGATAAGAATTTCACACCGATGCTAAGAATTTTCATCTTCAATCTTGAAATAATTATTCCCAAGCTAAAATGTGCCAATTCGTTTGCCAAAAGGGTCTACACTCTACAGCATTGACTCTATGGGTGGCTTAAAATGATGGTGCAACTATTCTCATGGACTATTTACATGCCAGTTTTTCACTCCTAGCTCCAAGTTGTTGCTGTCAGTGGCTCCAATATCGTTCTGAGTGGTGAACAAATGTCATTTTCCCTCTCTCGAAAGCTGACAAACACTCCAAACTCATACTCCCACGTACCAATCCAATTCTGAAGAAGAATTTCTGAATTTGCAAAAGCTTGCAACTGAATAAAAACAAGTGCTTTGCTGGGAACGTAAGAATGGGCAAGCATCAGAGAATCAAAAAAGGGAACCGATGAAAGTGTTTTAGCATGGCCCACTTCACTTTCTTATCAAAATCAACTGCATATATAGTAGCACACTGTAGCACTTTTTTGGGTTGTTCACTCTTCTTCTAAAATTGGAGCCTATTGGTTATTGCTGACAGATGAGTTTCAAAGAAACACAAAGAGTGCTGTTTATCAAGTTAGGTAATGCAATATTTTTAGTTCAGCATATCTGTTGCGCTTTCTTATAGCTATTAGAATCGGTAAAAGTTAAGTAGTTGTTTTTATCGTCTACAAATATGTACTAGGAATTCAAGTAATACGTGACTTAAATTTCATTACTCTGCAACTTCCTTTAGGCTTTATCTGTATCTTATGTCGAGCACGGGGTGGGCTCAGAACGGCAAGGAAGATATTAGTGATCAAGCACCTTTAATTAAATATGAAAACAAGAGTTAAGAGTTTTCTAAACTCTCTAATTTTTTTTTAATTTTCTCATTTTAAGAGTCTCTGACTCATGCAACGAAATTTATAATTTTTATTTTTATTTGTTAAATTAACTATTTAATATATTTTAAAATTAAAATAACAATAATAATAATAAATTATTTTTAAAAAATGTTAATTTTTAAAGTATAATTTTTTTTTAAATTATAAAAAATATAAATAAAAATATTAATTTTTAAAGAGTAAAATAACTATTTTTAATATTAAAAAAATAAAAATATATATATGAATAAAAAATATAAAAAATAATATCATATTAAAATTTTTATTATTTTTCTCTCTCAATATTAAAATCAAAATAAAGAATTTAATCTTTCTTTTTTCTCCAATTATTTTTGCTTCTTTTTCCTTTCAAATTCTTATATTTTCTTATTTCTAAATTTACAAACAAAAAATTTAACGCTTGAAGAGAAATTTTTAGAGAAAATATTTTTTTAAATTTTAAAATAAAAATGATATATTATTTATAATAAAAAATACATTATTAATATATTAAATTTATATTAATATATTAATTTATATATTTAATTTTTAAAAATTATTAATTTTAAATATATTTATTTAAAATATAATTTTCTCTTTCCAGCTAAAACCCCTTAAAACATAACAAATTCAGCGCTCGCACCTGCTTTATTACCGAAAGATAAAAAAAAATAAAAAATAAAAAAAATGCACTCTTTCATCACTCTCTAAATTTTTGTTTCCTTTTCAAAATTTCTATTTTTTTCTTTTAATATTTTATACTTTTTTTTCTTGATAATATAATTTTTTTTCAAAAAGGCTCTTTTTATAACCCAAAACTATTTTTAATTAATAAGTTTTTTAAAAATATTAATGAATTATTTATTGAATTGGTAATTTATGTTCATAATTAATTTGTTTTAGGTAAAGCATCGATATATTGAGACAAATCACGTTATATATATATATATATATATATATATATATATTATCCGAGACAACAAAACAAGAAAAGTTTCATTCCACGGGATTGCCACACGCCTATTAGATATCACGAAAAGGATTGGATGAGAACCAAAGGGTCGAGATTCTCTTGTGTTTCTTTGGCTAAAAACGCCCAATGCTCATTGAATAGAGCATATGAACACTTGCTTTTCAGATTGCTACATACATTATAGGGGTCAAAAGTCGCTAACATCTACTATTTAATAATATTTGATAAACAGTGACATTACATTTTTTTAGTATTAAATTCATACATATTATCATAAATAATTAAAAATAATATAAAATATATGATATTAATATCTTTATATGGTTTAACTAATTGTTCTTATCGTTTCCTAAATAAAAATATTGTTAAAACTCAACAATTATGTCTATTGTTAAATATTACAAATTTATTGTATATAAACTTCTCAAACAAAAAGGTCTTCACCGCAACATCACCTGAAGTAACGTGTCAGATTAGATAAATAATCGAACGGCCCACATCACAGACAGCGGAAATGTTGCTCTTCTTCAAATGACGAAAATAACCTTACATCAATGACGTGTCATTTTGGTGCTAGCGTAAATTCCCCGATTGCATCTGCAAGCGGAAGCATTGAATAATTACTCACACATGGTTATGCTGTATGCTATATAGAATTATACAGCAGTATAAATAGGCGCACTGGGTATGCGCGCGTAGCAAATCACGGCACGGCAACTCCACCGCAAACTGGCGTCTCCGTCGCCCGCGCTCACCGGAAAATTGCATTCCGGAGCCCTTGATTGGATCGGCGATGAGTGCTCCGTCGCGAGAAGAGGAGTCGAAAGAGGACGAGGAGGAGAACCGGCTACTGGAAGGGCAACCGGAGGAGGAAGAGGTAGCCTACGAAGCGGGGGAGAAGATCCTGGTGGTGGATTTCGAGTTTGATTCGGTGGACGATTCGAGCGTGCCTCCTTTCTCATGGAAGAAGCTGTGGATGTTCACTGGGCCTGGGTTCTTGATGAGCATAGCGTTTTTGGATCCAGGGAATCTTGAAGGGGATCTACAAGCTGGAGCCATCGCGGGCTACTCACTTCTCTGGCTGCTAATGTGGGCCACCTTCATGGGCCTCTTGATCCAGCTTCTGTCTGCCAGAGTTGGTGTCGCCACGGGCCGCCACCTCGCCGAGCTTTGCAGGGACGAGTATCCCAATTGGGCTCGCCTCGTGCTTTGGTTCATGGCCGAGCTGGCCCTGATTGGTGCTGATATTCAAGAGGTTATTGGAAGTGCCATTGCCATCCAAATTCTTAGCCGTGGCTTTCTCCCTCTCTGGGCTGGAGTTCTAATTACTGCTTCTGATTGGTATTTTTCTTTTTTTACTTTAAATTTAAAGTTTGTTAGAGAACAACCTTCCGAGTTTTCATGTTCAAACACGTTTGTTTGACTTTGGTTTATTGTCTCTGTTGTTGAACAGCTTTGTTTTTCTGTTTCTTGAGAACTATGGAGTGAGGAAGTTGGAAGCTGCTTTTGCAGTTCTCATCGCTACCATGGCTCTTTCTTTTGCTTGGATGTTTGGTGACGCAAAACCTAGTGGGAAAGAACTTTTAATGGGTAAATTTTATCTGATGGTGTAGTTGGAATATTGATTATATGTATGGCTTGTAATGCTGTGATTTTTAATAGCCCTTGCTACTGGCATTCAGGGATTAAAAGGATATGTGTTTCTTTTGTTAGGTATTTTGGTTCCGAGACTAAGCTCGAAAACAATTCGTCAGGCTGTGGGTGTTGTGGGTTGTGTCATTATGCCTCACAATGTTTTCTTGCATTCGGCTTTGGTGCAGTCAAGGAAGATTGATCCCAATAAGAAAGGTCGGGTACAGGAGGCTCTCAACTACTATTCAATTGAGTCATCGGCTGCGCTTTTGGTCTCTTTCATGATCAATCTATTTGTCACAACCGTTTTTGCTAAGGGTTTTTATGGAACAAAGCAGGCAAGTAGCATAGGATTGGTGAATGCAGGACAGTATCTTGAAGAAAAGTATGGAGGAGGACTCTTCCCTATTCTTTATATATGGGGAATTGGGTTGTTGGCAGCAGGGCAGAGTAGCACCATCACTGGCACGTATGCTGGGCAATTCATAATGGGAGGTTTCCTCAACCTTCGTTTGAAGAAATGGTTGAGAGCATTGATCACTCGAAGTTTTGCAATTGTGCCAACTATAATTGTAGCTATTGTTTTTAATAGATCCGAAGCCTCATTGGATGTTTTGAATGAATGGCTCAATGTGCTTCAGTCCATGCAAATTCCCTTTGCTCTGATTCCCCTCCTCACATTGGTGTCAAAAGAGCAGATCATGGGGACCTTTAGGGTTGGCCCTGTTCTTGAGGTGAGTTGATCATCTCACTCTTATTTCATTTGATCAAATTTTAGTTGTAAAATCTCTAAGCAACTCCCATCATGGTTGAAAGTTATGTTTTTAACCTGACTAGATAACTTGACACAATGATTTGGGTGGTAAGGGAACAAAAGTGTAGTTTTCCTTTGTTTAGCTTTGTCTGTGAAGCTAATAATCCCTTCCTCTCTTGTTTAGAATGGTTGTCTGTCTGGATTAACGGTCAGATTCATTCTGATATTGAAAATCTCAGGTTATTCATGATATCTATTGGCTATTCGATCAATGTGCTTGTTTGCTGGGTAAAAATGGAAATAGAGATGCAGTAATATACTAAGAGAGTGTAACATGCTTGACATTTGTCTGTATTTGCTTCTATCTGTTGTCTTGTTTCACTTAAGGTTAGATACATTCAGTTCTAATACTTTTTTATGATTATCTTTGTGAATACTAGTTCAGTCTGCAATGAATAAATGCTCCAGTTGTAAGTGCTTGTAAATGGATCTGTATTCCTGTAGTAGAATTGATCTGCAAAATTGAATTTAAACTACCTGGAGTTCTGCTTCAACTCAACCATTTTGGTACTGAACCATTTATTTTCTCCAAACTGTGTCGCAAGGACTTCACTTTTGTAGTGTTCCATTCGAGACATCAATGGTTCGTGTATCGTATATGGATACATTAATGAGATTGACTATGAAGTTTTGAATGGTTGGACGAATTTGAATTTTTAAGAAGTGACAACCTAGTGATCCAGTAGTCCCATTTGTTAGAAAATAAAGGAGTCCTACATTAGTTGAAAATGAGAAAAGTAAACGAAATATAAGCAAAGAGGTGCACAAGTCCAATTGCCCTGAGCATTTTAGATAAAATTGTAACCTTAAGCCCAAATCCCATTTTAAAAAAACCAATCACTTTCCCCACGTTGTGGACTTGGATTGGGCCCGTTCACAAAATTCAACACCATCTGTGCTGTAGCAAAATTTGATATATATTTACTTATATAAAACATGTGAGGGATTATTGATCACCTTCTCAAAACTAATTTTACAAAATATAGGTTCGAATGCACTTTCAAGTCATTGAAGTGCTAATTTTCTGACATAAATTGTTCCTCATATCATGAATTTTCTGGCACAAGGATTTGTTCCCGTACAGGATTCACATGCTTGTGGTCCTTTTTGCCTGAATTGGATTGATGTAAACAAAATTTAAAGAAATACGCGTGCAAATACCATATCCATTCAGTGAACTGATTTGAAGTTGTCAAAATGATTTTTTTCCATACTAATGTGTGCTTATTTTATTTGTTTATTTTGTAGAGAGTGGCGTGGACTGTTGCTGGACTGATAATAGTAATTAATGGGTATCTCTTATTAGATTTCTTCCTTTCTGAGGTGAATGGCCTGCTGCTTGGCCTTGTAGCTTGCTCCTGCACAGCAGCCTATGTTGCATTCATTGTATATTTGGTTTCACAGAGCGGTGCTCTTCCTTCTGCTTGGGTTAATCGCCTTCCCAAGGGATTTTCTTTTACTGGGAATTAAGTCAACAAAGTTCACACACCATTGAAAATTTGGAAACAGTACGGCAAACTTCTGTTAGACAATTTTGCTTGAGGAGTTTTGCTCCATACACCATAAAGTTTTATAGAGTTTATCTAACCTTGCAACCTTCACTAAAGGGAATACAAGGTCAGATAGTAGAAAGTACCTAGATTTAACTGCACTTCAATTTTTGCAATACACTTAGAGTTTACCTTCCATGCGTAACAAAGTGGAGATATCTTTTTGTAATGGAAGATGTGGAGGGAGCATCCTTACAACTTGCAGGATAAATTACTGTCCTGCCTGCTTATTCCTTTTTCTAACAAGTTGTGAATTGCTCTATTATTCTTTAATGTAAACAGTTTGTATTTAACTTGGAAGAACTGGCACATGTTGCTTTCAATTGCTAAGGGTAGCCAGGTAAGACGAAAAACATAAGTTGTAGGGGTTAATTAATAGTGCAATGTGGAGTACATTTATTTTATCATTTTTTTGTTAGTTATGATCTCGACTCGGGCGAAGGTGATACTCAGTTGATGAGTATAACACCGTTGAACTTTTAGAGCCAAATGACAAAAAATAGTTAGTTAAAAGTTGAATAAATTTTTAATATATTTTTAATCATACTTTATGATGTTATTTTCAAAATAATAAATAAAATAAATGAAAATTGAGAGGGGATAAAAGAAGAATTTTTTAAAATATAAAAAGGAAAAATGTAAAGAAATTATAAGCTGCAAGGTAAAAAAGTACACTATAAATTAATTTATAAGTTTGTTGAATTAATTAATTAAACATAGTCTGTCTATGGGCATTTAACAATGAAATCAGTGATCGAAATATGATGGAATAGAAAGAGAGAGATATGCTGGCTGGAATATAAGCCCCTACCCACTTGATAGAATATTTTTTTTACATTATATACAAATATTTCTTAAATTATTATGGTATTATATATTTATATATGCATATAATTAAAATAAAAGATATATATAATATTATAATATATATATATATATATATTAAAAAATATATATTTATTTGATGTTGTTGATAAATAATTTATCTATATGTGTGTGTGAATTAGTAATTAAAATATTTCAAACTCTATGATACCCTGCCCATCATTTTTATAGTGCAGCTGAGTATGCATATCAAAAGCTATAACTAGTTCTCTGCTCATGACTTTGTAATTATTTTTCATGTTTAAAAAAGATTACAAAATATTGTTTTGTTTTATTAAATAAATTGCTCAAGATAAAATTTAAAGTATTAATTAAGAAATTTAAATAAAATTTTATCAATGTATTTTCACTGTAGTTTTTTTAATATTTTTTTTATTAATTTTAATCAACATCTTAAAATATTTAATGAATTTTAAATAATATATTTTCAAATCATGCAATTGTTTTTGGCTGCTATTATATTGTATTTACTCGAAGCACTAGTTTTTTGGTATGGTAAAGAAACGGTTGAAAATAAGAAAACAATAAATATGAAAAAAATGTATAATTAATTATTAAAAATTAGTTAAAAGTGTGTAATTAATAAAACTTAACGTGTGTAAATTTTCTCAAAATAGATAAATCAATATATTAATAGCATATTTAATTATGTGTTTTTAATGTCACATTATAATTTTCATATTAAAACTTAATTTGTTAACATAATTTAACTAGTTTTATTACCCAAACTAAGAAAAATATATGTTTTATATTAACTTGGAGGTTTCATAGTGATTTCCATGCATGTGACAGACTTATATCAACAGGTGCTGTTACTTGGAGTCTTGCTCAACAATTCCTTTTATGTTGACACTTTGACCCTAGCAATGAATTTCTTCTCCCACGCGGTCATCTGTGATAATGCTGTTTTATAATTTTCATTAGATTCAATATTGGATAATGGTCAAATTAGTTAGATGTCCCCATCTTCGAAAATCAAAGGTCATTCCCAAATAGATATTCATAATGCTCGAGTTCTTTCATTTCCCAAGTATTTATAATTGTATATTTTCTTAGCTCGTTAAATTACATGAGAAAAATACCTTCATAATTTAAAGATCAAGAAAAATTTACAATAAATAACAAAACACTCACCCATACAAATAAAGATGAATAAATATTAGAATACTTGTGTACTTAAATTATATTTAATTACATGTAATGTAGGCACAAATATAGTTTTGTAATTTGTTATTTTTTTACACAACATGTTTAATTATAATTGAAAAAATGTTGAATCGGTTTCTTATAATACTAATTACTCTTTTTTCATTTACTTATTCTTATACATTGTTTCTTCTTAAAAAAACATCTAGGCAGAGGAATGAACCTTTTCATCTAAATATTTAAAATTAACCATTAATTTTGATGAAAAAAATTAAAATTTTGTTACCCTCAATTTCTGAAACTAAGTTTAAGCACAATTTTTTTTTATACAAACAATATTTATTATATTAAAATTATAAAAATATAATAATTTTTTATTAATTATTTATTTTTAGTCTTAAGTTGAAATTAACATTTTTAAAAATTTAAAATAAAATTATATATTCACTGTGAAATTATTAACTTCAAACCCAAGTCATTCCATTATTAATACAGGAAATAATAAAGTCAATTCATTCACGACATGTATGCAAAGTTAATTGCACATTTAAAGATAAAATATAATTCAAAATTTTAAATATATGTTTAATAATTTACATCAAAATTTATAAGATATTATATAATTAATATATTAATAATATAAATATTATAATTTAAATAAATTTTTTATTTGTTAATTATTATTATTATATATTTAAATATGTTTAAAAAGTATAATATATATTTTTTGGAGTCTATCTAGATAGAGACAAAATATTGACGTGGGAGTTTGGTAGAGCGTTGACTGAAACTTAAAAAAGGAGGGAGGAAGCCCACATGCATTTGGGCTGAAAAGGACATTAGGATTAAGGTTCTATAAAAAGGAAACAATGGGACATCACATTCACATCCACACCCTCGTAGGTACAGTTTCTTTTTCTCGTCCATTAGGGGTTCTCGCATGTAATGTTACTATATATTGCATGCACAACGCTGCTCAAAGCAAAACTCTGCTTACCCTCACTGTTACTTCTGCTAAACCCCACTCCCTCTTCCCTTCATTCCCTTCTCTTTCTCTTTTCCTTTTCTATTTATCACCCTAATTCCCTTCTTTCCTTTTTTTGGAATTATTGGTTGATAAATAAAAACCCTTAATTGCTTTTTTAAAAACCCTTTCTTTAAACCCTCCATCCTTCACTGATTTCACAGGCTACAAAGAATGTCAAAACGATCATCTCTGTTTAACGATGATGGGTCTAGTTTTTTGTCGTCTGAATCGTCATGCTTATCTCAGTTCTTGTTGCGAAGCCAAAACCCCTATCACGTGAATCAAACCCTAGAAGATGCTTTTGCTGGTCTTTCTGTCTCTGCGTCTTCTTTTAATCACCCACCTCTTGATCTTCTTGGCCCTGGGTCTTCTTCTGGTGTTAATGGCAACGCTAAGATTCTCTCTCGCTTTAGTTATGAAAGTGGGACTCTTGTAACCCCTCAAAGTTCCGATCTGTACCCTTCTTCTTTTCCCACGTTCAGCGCCAACGTTTTCTCTTCAAGCTACGATCATGGGTTTCTTGATTCGGAGCCACTGGCGAGACAGAGAGAATTTGGTAACGTTTATCCCACTGTGCCACTTTCGAACGGGGTGCAACAAAAACCCTTAGGTAGTAATTTATTGAACGATTGCTGGGGTAACAGGTCGAGTGGTCCGAGGTTTAATGTCGATGAAAGGCGCTTGCAATGGTTCAATGATTTTAGGGGGAGGGTTCTGTTATTGGCTATGGATCAACATGAATGTAGGACTTTGCAGGAAACACTGAAAATATTGAAAAGAGAGGAGCTTTCTATCATCTTCTCGGAGCTGATAAATCATGTGGTTGAGTTGATAGTTGATCCCTTTGGGAATTATGTTGTTCAGAGGATGGTGGAAATCTGCAGTAAAGAACAACGAACTCAGATCATTTTAATGTTGACTCAGTCTAATCTTCAGTTAGTCAGAATATGTCTTACCCCCCATGGGTATATAGCTGCTGGCTCTTTCCTTTTCGAGAATTTTTGTTTGGTTGTTCATCTTCATGAATTATTTTTTGTTTGTGAAGCAACCAAGAATCTTTATTTGACTCCTTTTTTTTTCTTATATATGCATATTTGTATTAAATAAGTGGTTTTATTTTCTTCTTCTAGAGCCCGCACTGTTGAGAAGTTATTGGCGCATGTTACCACCCAGGAGCAACGAGGTCTGATTATGTCAGTTTTAAGCCCCAGTGCTGCTGTATTGGCTAAGGATATGAATGGTCATCGTGTGCTTCTGCATTGTCTAAAACATTTCTCAGAAGAAGATACTAAGGTAGTATTTGTTCATGGTTTTGTTATGTATTCTGCTTGAATTTACAGAAGAAGATACTAAGATCTTACCAGTTGAGCACCCAAAGTTATTTTTAGAATGAGTAATAGTAAAGTAAAGTGAGTTCAACAGCAGGTCCTTGCTGTCTGGAATAGTAGATTTTTCCACTTGTTTTAAGGGGATGATTCCAGAGTCTAGAGCATTTAAATTTGACTTTTATGTGATTCAGTTTGAAATTGTTTTTCTTGATACACATCTTCAAGCAATAATATCATAGCTCATTATAATAACTAATTCTTGATTGCGTTTCTTTCCTTTCCCCCTTAGGTCTGTCTTAATTAAGTTTCTGAATATGAACTCTATTATTGTAATCATATTGGACTGGAAAAACATAATCAATACCTTCATGCTACTCTATATTATATTTTTTTTCCTCTTAATGCTTTGCTTTTTTTATTCACATCTTTGTTTCTGAAGTAAATGAATATTGATCCATTTGCTCTTAAAGTTTCAGTATTTTAATTGTTTACAGAAATTTGAATGAAAGAAAAAAGGTTCACTGGTCTTTTTGGATAAGTCCTTGTTTGTCAAATTACTCTGCTTTGGTATTCCTGGTTTCTTTAAGTTCTGATCGTAGACTTTGTGGACAGCATCTTCTGAATGTGGTGGCAATCAAGTGTTTTGGGATTGCAACAGATAAGACTGGGTGTTGTGTGCTGCAGCAATGTGTTAACCATGCTCAGGGAGAAACAAAAAGGCAGCTGATTGCTGCCATCATAAGAAATGCTGCACTCCTAGCAGAAGACTCTTATGGGTTTGTTGTTTTTACCGAATACCAAGTTTTCTCTTTTCTAGCCAACTTATTTAGCTAAACTTGTTTTCCTATGTACTGTGTCTGGCAGCAACTATGTTGTGCAGCATTTGTTGTCTCAAAAAATACCAGGAGTTGTAGAAAGTCTTATGAGACAGCTTGAACAAAATTTTTTCCATCTTGCCTGCAACAAATATGGGAGTAATGTAGTGGAGAAGTTCTTTCACGAATCAGGGGAACAACATTCATCACTTATTATTTTGGAGTTGCTCCACAATCCAAATGTTGCTATGCTTCTTGTTGATCCATACGGAAATTATGTCATCAAATCAGCACTGTCTGCGTCCAGGGTGAGTTCACTTGAACACCGATTTTTGTAATCTTTACGTTTGTGCTATGCTCTATATTTCTAATTTTGCATAATCTTATAGTTTTGGCAGTCGGCATCTTTGCCTGCTACTAAAGGTTGAATTGCAATGATTTGGTTCTCCTAGGTGGGAATTTTCCCCGACAAAATAAATATAGTTGAAGAAGCTAGCTAATTTATTCCCTTTTCCCCTTACATTGATTTCGTGCCCTGCATGTGTCATACAATTATCTTTTCAAAATTTGCTCTGTTGACTTGAAAAATCCGATCACATCACATGGATTCTCTTAAAATCTGCAGGGTTATAATAACTTTGTTTTTCCATCTGTTTCTTTAAAGCAGGGTGCTCTTCGAGATGCTTTAGAGAACCTGATCCAACTAAATTCCATGATGATGTGTAGTAACCTCTATGGCAAAAAATTACTTGGTTGGTTTGACAGGGGGAAAACACGCCATATATAAAACATGCATTACAGTGACTTGTACATTGCTCAAAAGATCTTTCACACACCGCCAAAGAGTTACACTTATTTCATTCTTCTTGTCTTTCTGTCTCATAACTCTGGTAACAATGTTCATGTCTTAGGTTGTCAGGTTGTGTTTGTTTGTAGTTTGTGTTAGTTTCTTTCAATTTTTTGTGACTTGCATGGGATGATACGACTTGCTACTGAAACAATTCAGATTGGACTACAGAGGACAATGCTCTGCTGTATAGGAGCTAACTACATAAATGATTCTCGCAAGGAGGTCTAAGTAGGTGATCCAATTGTGATTTTCTGGAAGTGTATTCTTATGATTCGACTGTTCATTATTCTTCTGTATTACATGTTTAATAAATGAATCATGAGGATAAATTTGCTTAGGGTCCACTACTGCATAGCTCATACTACAAAAAATGACGAATGCTTGAAACAATTTCTGACATATTTTTTTTTCTGATATATTCATTATATCAGATGAAATCTATGTGAGATCAACTACATAGGGAATGAGACTCAAGTCAATTAATCTAATGATAAATAGCGTTTAAAAAAGTTGTAAACTGAACAGTAGCTGTTAAGCAGTATGCAGTGGAATTTTTTTTAACAAGACAATGGTACATAATATTGTTTGCTTGTGCAAAAGTAACGTATAAGAAAATGAAGCTCAAAACTAACAAGCTGCCACGTTATCATAATTGTACAATGAGAACGATAGCAAGAAAATATATAGTACCCACACAATATAATTCTCTATTTTATTTTCTCTTCTTTTCATATCCTCTAATTCTTTCTTTTTTTTTTTCTTTCCTCTAATTAATCCTTGTTATGTAATATTTTTTTAATCACCTTAATTTATTTTTAAAATTATAACAGTTCCAGTATAGTCTAATAGGTGGAGGCAGAGGTGATCTAAACAGTATTGTAATTAAAAATCAAAGATCAAATAATTGTTTCAAACATTCTAAACATACATGGGATTGGGTGGCCTAAATTTGTGATATTCTTTTGAAATGGATACATGTTGAAAAAGACTATGCTAGTGAAGTCTAAAAAGTTAATATAAACATACGAGATGAATTTGGTTATAATATAATTTCATTTTACTTCAACTTAAATAGGTCAAATAATTGCTTTACGCTTGGATTCTTATTTTTTAAATAATTTTTCTTGAATATTTGAATAGAAATACATGTTAAAAAATAATAAAATAAAAATTAAGAATAAAGAATATTTACCATGAACTCAATCAATTTATAAATATATAAAAAGATTAATTTGAATACATAATTTAACTAAAATAATGTATATTTTAAATTAAAAATAATTTATTTTAACAAGTTATACCAAGAATTTTATTAAAATAAAAGAATTGTAATTTTTTTTTCATAAATTGTAACAAATGGGTTTAAATTATGGAATATTAATACATAATAATGCTAAAATATAATGAAAAAGAAATAATTTGATGTAAATATTTTATCCATATTTTTTATTTCAAATATCCTATATATATATATATATATATATATATATATATAGGATATTTGAATTGATAAGTTTTATCATAAAAAAATTATTATTTGGTTTGAGAATAATATTAATGTTGACCAAATCTAATCCAATCTTTTATGGTTTGAGTTGGATTATTAATTTAGTTATTCTCTTATATTTGTATTTTTTTAAAAAGAAATAATACTTTAATTAATAGTTAATGAATGACTGAAATTTTATTAACTAAAATACAAAAAGGCCAAAAGTAATACATGATTTCTTATTTTTAATAGATACCTTGTTAAATAAAAATTTAAATATATATTGATAAAATATTAAATCACATCATTAATTATAATTTATTCTAAATTTGAATTGAAGTTCAAAAGAATTTAATTTTTTAAAATATAAATAAGTTCAATAAAAAAAATTTTACTACTATTTCTTAGAACAAAATATCTAATGTAAATGTAATTTAATTTAGTTCAATTTGATATTGAAGCTGAAAACTAAAAATCAAATTAAACTGAATAAAAATAATAATTTTCATTTTTTTTAGTAAGATCATGGTAGACGATAAAAATTTTCTTTTAAGTATTTAAAAGAAGTTATATTTATTAAAACTCGAATTTGAGAGGATTAGAATAAAAAATAAATTAATCTTGAGAAAGTAATATAAGTAAACAAATTTATATTTATTTAAAAGTAGTAGTTGTTAACTTTCTTAATTTTAATTAAAATTTAATTTTTGAAGGGAACAAGCAATATTAACTAAACACGAGAGGGGCGATTTGTATTACAAGTCGCAACAATAAAATTTATTGAGATTATATTTATATATAATTTGATAAGGAACTTGATAAATAGATGGATGGCATAAGGGTGGAATGGAAGGGTGAAATCGATTAATTAAGGGCATTTGTCTTTGCCCTTTGAGTTCTTCAAGTCTCTGTAGCATGGACACTCGTGCTTGTTCCCATAAGTCCCAGATGGCACGCACTTGCACTTCTCGCAGCAGATCCCACAGAACTTCAAGCATCTGTCCTGAACCCCAGCTTTTGCACATCTCTCACCACACTTTGAGTCACAGAAAGCTAAATCCAACGTTAATTTCATCAGAATCAGTTCCTTATACAAATCATTGTTAATTATTACATCTATTTGAAACAAAACATATTACATATCACGACTTACCAGAACCAGCCATTGAGATTTGCAACATAGAGGAGCTAAGGAGAAGAAGGCACACAAGTAACGCATTTGCAAACACGAGCTTCATCTTACTAGGTTGTGTTGCGCAAGTTTGAGCCAGCTAAGGCCGTTATTTATAGTCACAATTGTAGGGTACTAAGATCTTACGTGAGTGTTTGTTTATTCCTTCGGTTCCTGTTTATTGCGTGTGACCGTCCAAACTGCAAGCAGGACACAGCTGGCCTTTCTAGTACTTCCAACATCATCCTTTTCATGCGCTTAACGTTATTTTTTTTAGCCAGGGAATATCTAATTAATTGTAAGAACCATTAATCATATCTTATAATGTGTATAATATATGTTGCTAATATTTCATTTTATATTTTTGACGAAAGCTGCGTTTTTCTTTTGAACGTTGTTAATTTCTAGATAATTTAAATAAGTTTCTAGTTTAGATTTTGAAATTTGTTCTTAAACATATTTTGTTAAGATTTTAATTACTGTTATATTCCTCCATTTGTTAGCGTTGAGTTAGTTCATGAAACTTTAACTTAGTGTTATCCTAACTAATATAATGATATAAACCTAAAACATTAATTACATATACAAATATAATCAAACAAGAGTGAAAAATACTCACCCACTTCTTGTCTCCATGTCCCAACTCCTCCATTCTCATTATTAAAAGTGAAACAAAAAAATAGTAGATGAGAGACATAATTTAAAAAATAATTGTACTTTTCATAAATTTTTTATGTATTTCTGTAATGCAGCTTGTGGTTGAACAAAATTTCTGTAATGTTCATCAAGGAAAATAAAAATTTAAATTACAAAATACGAGTAAAAAGGCTACAAATTTGTGTATTGATGGCTTGTCAAAATATTGATGCTGCATTGATTGGCAAAGGTTGAATATGCAAAACACAATCTAATAGCAGTGGCATTTTTGCAACTGGATCATCAATCAAGCGTCTTCTCCCTCTTACCTTCCCTTTCATCGCCGTTTTACAAAACGACGAACACCGAACACCACACACAGTTCTCAAGTTGCCAGGGTGTCAACTTGAGGTAATTTGGCTCATTCGAACTAGTTTAGCTTGTTTTTTGTTAGGTGCCTAAGTATGTATTTTTAATGGAGAGAAAACAAAGTTATATATATATATATATATATATATATATATATATATATATAACGAGGTTTAAAAAATAATTTTCTTTTTTTCTTTTGATGAGCCCACATTAATGTAAAGGAATTTTCACAGGTTGGAAATGGTAAGCTGAGGGAAGAATGTACAGTGTTAATTGGGATGATGTTACGTTTTTGGGGGACCATACCCAACTGCTTTGCCTTTACACCGAGCAAACGATAATTACGTAGTAATTCATATGACGTGCGGAAAACAAATTTCTTTTGCTGTGGCCCTGTCTCTCTCTCTCTCAGACAGAATAAACCTTCTCGTACAATGTTAGTCAATGATCTAAAATCATGGTTAGAAAATTCATCTTTTTAACGTGATACCAAGATGCCTCTATATTTATTATGGAAATCTAGCCAACTAATATTGATAAATGTAATTTTATTTAATATAATAAATTTTTATTTTTATAAAAATACACTATTTTTAGATACTTAATCACATCTTTCAAGCTAAGATTAACAAAATTCTTATTTTAGTTTGAGATAGATGTACTTTTAAATTATATTTCAAATGATCCAACTATGATTTTTTGTTTATCGTGTAATAAATATGCAATATCATCATGGGTTTTTGAAACAAAATAAAACTCTAGATTAATTATAGAATATATATATATATATATATATATATATATATTTCAACTTTAAAGATTATAAGTATCTTTAAGTGTTAAGACAAATCAATATAATTAAAACAACCATACTTGTTATTTATTTTTAATTACTTTCAAAACAACCATTCCAAATGTCACAAAACGTTACTATATGATTGATTGACCTTTGGCAATTTAAGAAAGTTCACAATCAAATGTACAGAAAACAAACTTAAAAAATTTGGTTTTAGACATAATTTTCATAGTGTTACTGTGGATATATTTATATGTTTTTGTTAACCAATGTACTAAGGACATTATTAAAAAAAAAAGGTATTGATTATACTTTTTAAACAAAAATTTTAGTTTTTTAAGTCTCTTCATATGCTATATTTATATATCGTTTGTCTTGTCATGATTGTCTCCTCGTCGTTGTAATTTTGGAACTTTTATGTGAGTTGACACGTTGACTCGAGTCTGATTCGAAAAGAGAAGTCATAGACTAAATTATGTTATTTTTATTTTATTCTTCTTGTCAGTCTCGATTGACATGTCAAGTGGCACAAAACCACAATTTCAACTGTGCTGCTAAGATAACACACAAGGTAAATCGAATAATAAATCAACAAAAAAAAACCTCGAATAACAAACAATTAAAATACAACTTTTAAGTGAAAAATACAATAGATTAATACTGGGGAATTTCAAAATGCATTAGTTTTAAAAAAAAAATGGACTACTTTTTGTTTTAAAAAATAGATTTTTGAAAATGGCAATGGAATAGTACTATAGTTATATATATATATATATATATTATCAATAGGCTCAATTCAGATGAAAACCTTGCTATAATATTTTTAACTTTTGCTTTGGGCCTCAATTTTGGGCTGCGTTATCTATCACCCAAAAAAGAATCTTGTTAAGCTGTAATGGTGCTACGATGCCTTCAGGTCCTGACTAATTTTCTTTTCTTTTTATTCGGTAATCGTCTTTCTGATCACAAAATTGAAAATTTTCCATACGAATGAGTTGGACATATTTTAAAAACATGATGTTAAAGGAAACATATTTTTCACATGAATTTTCGATTTGTGTAACAATTTTTCTATGCAAAAATCATAAATGCAGCTAAACAGTTTTACAATACTGATTACCCAGGAAGCCATTGATAGATAGGTAGATCTTACAGAAACTTTATTGGGCCTGTTTCAAATGTAGCGCCCCGAAAACAAAGGGTGTGTAGTAGCGTAGTACCTTTGGGCTTAACATGTTCTTATAGCCGTAATATCCGTGGCGCCCTCTTTAATAAAATAAAATGCAGGCATTTTTATATTACTGACGAGTTTTGGATTTTACTTCCAATGCACTTTTGCTGTTTGATACCCTACGAATTTTCTTCTAAATTTCACGGAAATTTACAGGATTGAACTATGTTAAATGTGTATTATGCTGGATTTTGTTATGACTTTTCTTTTTCCCCTGGAGTTCTGATTTATGCTTAAAGGAAATATATGTTGATAATTTATTACCACCAAGTAACGATTGTTAATTAATTACTTAATTGTTGTTATTGTTAGAATTATTTCATGATTTTCTGCCTTAGTCCAACTGTATCTTTTTGTATGATTAAGAAAAGAAACCTATATACAGGTAAATCAATTTCATTATTTGACCGTCAAATAATTGACACTATATTTAGCACTTAATACAATTTTTTTTTATCACGCTCATTATCAAAAGAAATGATAAAAGTTGTGTCATTTTTGTAGTACAAAAATCATTTTCCCAATAAAACTCCTTGGACTTTCTTGTAGGGAATTATGTTCCCTTCCAAGTGATCTATAAGTATCATGCATTAATGATGCTTGTAATATGCGTTTGCTTTGCAGTGTGCTATTTCTCTTTATTCTAAACTCATGTTCACAAAAAATTCCAAAAAAGAAACTTACATCCAAATACAATTTTCTGCAGTTAAGCCTTTCCAACACAGTCACTTAACAAGACCCAGATGAACAAACAAATGAAACTTCTCTAGCATTCCAACGACCCATATGGATTTGGATTTGAACAACTTTGAAACAGTTATTATATCCGAGCAAAACATGCTCAATTCCGCATAGTTTGATGAGTCAAGATCATAAATATAGTCTTTGCCATCACGAGCATAGAACGGTTAATTGTTATTTTTCTCCGTTCTAATGGTACAAACACACAATTAATAAAATCCCGGCCTCAATCATTTTGGCATTGTTAAACGAATCTTTGAAGCATGTCCGAAATAATCTTCTTAAGAAAAAGATAAAATCTAAGAAACATCCTTTTCATGCTTTTCCACCTATGCAGCTGCATATTCTTGAGACCAACACCATATGTACTTAATCATGTTTTTAATCTATATTCTGGTTTCTAAGAATTATAGTTTATACTTTTGCTTGAAGGTGCAAGCTAGCAATGAGAGGGGACCACATTCTGCTACTGATTTGAAGGGGATTGTTTTGCCATTTGAAGATGTGGTCCCTCATTTTCACTTACGAACGTCAGTGCCATTTATCTTCACCTATTATATCTTGGGCTGTTAAAAATATTTAACTGAAAAAATCAAAGGGCATTGTGGGCTAAGGGTAGGTGAAATCCCATAATCTATTTTCAGTTTAACTTGAACTTTGTACTCTTTTTTGCTTAAAAAGGGCTTTATAGGCTAGGACTAGCATTAGAGTTTTTGACAGATGAGCTTATAAATTGACTAGATACTGGACAGCATGATGATAAATTTGCATAGAAAATTAGAAAAGGCGACATAAGTATACACTGTGTGCAACAACTCATCAAAGTCTTGAAATTTTCTTGCTTACGTGACCCTCTTTGTCACATAAGAACGAGAAACTCTTGCATGAGAAATGATAAAAAAAACTGAAGGTAAAAAAGCCTTTCATGAACTTGTGTTTGACTTATAAAGTACTGTCGGGTTATCGACCGAAAAATAAAGTACTGTCGGGTTTAGGCGTTTAGCTTCCAACAAGAAACGTAGATGAGTGGTGGACCACGCCGCACCGAAGCACTTAATTAAGAGAAACTTGGTACAGCGTAAAGATGTGTTGAGCATTATAGAAAAGAGGAATGCTTTTGTTTTCTTTTGAATATTCTCTTTAATAATATTTCTTTAAAAATAATTTATAAACAAGTGTTTTGACATTTTAAAATATAAATAAATTAAGTTTGAAAATATGCTAAAAAATATATATTGCTTTTGTCTTGCAAAGTTATATAAAATTGTCCAAGTGCAGTGCATACTCTCGCTTTGCTCGTATCTTATCGTTAATTTGTTGCACAGGTTTGTGGTGTAAGTTTGTAACCACGAACATGATTGAGGCTCTACGTTGTGTTAATTTAAGGATATGTTTTTGGTGTAAAGTATGTGAAGGGATAGTGATATAATTTTTACGTCATTAACTTTAATTACAACGAAAAGAAAATAGTGTATGATAGTCTGTGTTTTCTTTTGTTTCATAACTTGAGATAAAAAAAAAATAAAAAAAGCGGAGAGTACATTGGCACAATGATAAAGGTCATATTTGAATTTGAATTGTAGAAACTATACCTTTCTTTATGTAAATTGCCTCAATATTTCTGTTATTTTTATCGTATTTTACAATTGGCATATATAAATTTGATTTTGCTTTAATGTAGCTAGGTTTACAGTTAAACGCGTGGAAAGGTAAGAACAAGGAAAAATGAAACAAGTTATTTATGAACGAAGCAAAGATTAATATTGTATGCACAATTTAGTGAACTCAATGAACGAGTGAAAATAAGTGTTGTCAAATGAACACATTCAAAACGTGTTGAACATGTTGCTTGTATGAATATATTAGTTCAGTGGATGACCTGAACAATGACTTAAGTAATTATCTCAAGTGAAAGTTAAGATGACGATAAATTTCATAATAGTAAAAGGCATAGATTTTGATACCGTGATGGGCTACTGGGCCGATTAAGAAATAGACAAAATAATTATATCTTTTATTAAATCATTATATTTAAATAAAACATTAAACAGTTTTTGCATTTTTCAAATTACACATTTATTTTATTTTATTTTCATATGTCATATGTTAACAAAATTATAAAAAAAATATTCACATACTTTTGTTTCACTTATTTATATACTTTTTATCCCTCTACATTAACTATTATGTAATTTTAGTCACCCAATAATTAAATTACTTGAATTGAATATAATATTTTATTTATTTTTTAATAGTTAGTATAATCAAGTCCTCCTATTAATGCACTTTTTATATCTATCTTCAAATCCTGTTTTTAAATCAAATAATTAGGAGTTTAAGTTTGACTTATGATAATAAATATTTTTAATGATTCATAATATGAAAAAGTTTGATGACATTTTAATTAAATTAATAAATTTGTATGAAATGAAAATTTGGGGATTTTCTTTATTTTAGAGAAATTCAAACAAAACATATTAAAGTAACACAAATACAATTAAATATTTTTAAAGAATAAATAATTTTATGCATATTCTTTCTACTTAAATATTTTATATATATCATTATCATCTCACGTAAAACCTTTGAGGCATGCGTATCTAACAGTTTGCACCCACGATCATGACATAAGATATTTAATAATATTTTTTTTTTATATTCATTATCTTATATATTATTGTCAGCGAATTTCTCTTTTAATTTGACTATTTTTTTCTGTCACACCTTTCATTTAACATTCTCTCTCTCTCTCTCTCTCTCTCTTTTTTCTTTATTTCTCTCCTCCGTATATCTAAACAAAATAACTTTAAAGGTGTAAAATATTGTCGCCTTAATATATTATGCTGAGAAACTGTGCAAACAAGTAAGATACAAAAAGTATGCTAAAACTATTCTCATAAATTGATTGCCGGAAGCAAAATGACTTTGGCTCAATGAAGCATGCCGAATCTTACTTAGATAGGAATTACTTTATTGGATTATGAAAGCCTCCCACTTATTCAACTCTAGGTATAACCATAGCAATCATTTTATTTTATTTTCCATTAACCTTTTTAAACTTGAATCCCTGAGGCCCCAGGATCTTCATATAACGCACAGAACCTAACTTACTTGTCTAAGAAATCCCCAATCAACTGAGGCAGCTATGAAGTCCGAAATGAAGAAAAAAAGAGTGACCCCTATTCCCAAAACTCCTTATAACACCAACGATCATGTGAAAGAAGGGTCTAGGGATGAGCTTTGCATCAGCCCGAGCTGTTTCTTTTGCACCATGAGAGAACCAGATGCATCTCACAGAAGGGCTGAAATAGAGAGTTGCTTCAAAGAAATGCCTGAGGGAGAGAATCAAGAACATGTCTTGGTGCTGAGTGGACTATGGAACATCGCAATGAGCCAACCCAATGACCCAGAGTTTCCTTCCCTTGGCATATTCAAGTGCATGGCAAATCTAATCCACAAAGGTGTAAACGACAGGCACTGGCTTCTCACGAATCAAAACATATACATACCCTATTATGCAGCTCATATCATTGGCTCTTACACTATGAACAAGGAGGAGTTTGCTCAACTAGCTGTGCAATCAGGTGTCATACCCCCATTACTAGAGTTGCTTCGTGGCAAGATTAGTTGGGTTGAGCAAAGAGTTGCTGTTCGAGCACTTGGTCACTTGGCCAGTTACAAAAGTACCTTCGAATCAGTAGCACAGTGCGAACAAGAGGTGGTGAAACTGGCCTTGGACTTGGCTTCCACTTGCTTAGAAGTGGTCTATGTTGACTTCGTAGCTGTGAAGGATGTGAAGAAAAGACTCGAGTACCATAGAAACTTGCTAACTAGAGGGGTTGGCGATTTGGAAATGGAGAATCGCAAGGCAGAAGAATGGTGTAGTCAACTTCAGTGCTGGTCTCTTTATCTGCTGAATTGTTTTGCTTGCAAAGATAGGTCTCTGGATCTCATTTGCAAAACGGTGTTTCTGAAGGACTTGTGCGATATGTGGGGCGGGTTGATAAATCATACATCGCCAGCTGGGGTTGGATTGATTAGAATCTTGTGTTATAGTAAAATAGGAAGGAAAAGCATTGCTGAGTTACCAAAAGTTTTAATGGCTCTTGGTAACCTTTCAAGATCTTCAGATGATTGGCAGTATATAGGTATCGATTGTCTTGTTCTGCTTCTCAAGGACCCAGATACGGGGTACAAAGTTATTGATGTTGCCGCTTCATACCTCGTTGATTTGATTGAACTTAGAAGCCTTGGAGATAAATCAAACGTGGGTGAGACCATCACAAGGGTGCTCCTTTTAGATAGTAAAAAGTTAATATTCACCAACAGACAAAAAGTTGAAGCAACAATACAAGAGGTGGTAGATTTGAAGGTGGATAGGAGGAATAAGGAGAAGCTAATGTCTGAAGAGAAATTAGAGGAAACAAGGGTTTTGATGAGTTTGATAAAGCAACAAGCGAATCACATGTTCAGGTTGGGAAAGGTAGAAGAGGCTTTAGTGAAATATTCTGAAGCACTTGATGTTTGTCCTTTGAGGTTTAGAACAGAAAGAATGGTGCTTTATAGTAACAAAGCGCAGTGTAATCTGTTGCTTAAAAACGCGGATTCAGCCATCAGTGACTCAACGCGTGCTCTTTGTCTCTCCAACCCGGTAAACACACACGGCAAAAGCCTTTGGAGGAGATCACAAGCATATGACATGAAAGGCATGGCCAAAGAGAGCCTCATGGATTGCATAATGTTCATGAACGGTTGCATCAAGTCAAATGAGACCAAGCGTGTCAAGATTCCATACTACGCCGCCCGCATGATCAGCAAACAGATGGATGCCACGTGGATCTTCGCCACTGCTCGCTCAAAGGTGAAAAAAACAAAAGAGTTGAATCAAATTGGCGGGGATGAAGATGCGAACGAGGGCAACCATGAAGAGCGACCACCTGATCATAAGGCGCTGATGATGATGGTGATGGAAAAGAAAAACATTCTCATGCACGGTAATTAAGTCCTTGTTTTACTGGTTTAATCTTATGGATAGTGAATGATGATTAGAATTTACAAAATTTAATTGACGTGGTAATGTTATAAGTAAAATTTGTTAATTTGGAGTCACGGATCACTTTTAAAAACCACTTTTGATATAATAGAGCATATGTACTATGCACAAGTCACATGTATAATTAGACTTAAGCTCAAAAAATGGGGTGTATTGTAGCTGATTTGAATATTGAGTGGGTTTGCTCTGTTGCTTCAAACTTTACAGCGTTTGCGTGCGTGAGGGTCAAAATCACTTTTGCTGTGAACTACTTTTTCAGGTCTGTCAACCATTAGTGAAGAACCTTTTTACGCAAAAGAAGCTGGTAGGAGAAAGATGGAAAGGGCAAGAAGAAGATTAAAGAAAGGTGTTGTAGCTCAACCAACGTAAGTCAATTTGAATGGTTTAATTTGTTACATACGGAGGAAAAGAATCTTGTGCCACCTAGCTAGCTCCCGGATTTTTGCCACTATGTTAGACATATACTTTGTTTCTGTACTTTAATTTGTCAGTGGCAAGTTATAGAAATTGAATAAATGAGGGGTCTCAAATCTATTTTACATATTGAAAATGGTAAATGGAGTGGTACATGATGGAATAGCCAATTATAAAAGAATAGCGTGACTGATATAACCCAGCCGCACGCAGGGAAATGGAAAGGACCACATTTCCATTTTTAATATAATAATATATATTGTAACTTATTGCTGAGATTAAAAGTAGCCAACAATAGTGCCACACAAATTCTAATCAAGAATTCCCACTTAATCAGAAGTTTCTAATGTGAACTGTAAAAAACTCGGGGAAAATGGGGTTTGAAGCTCGAACTTTCCTTAGGACAAGAAGAACCATGGCAAGATGAATTTTGTGAATTTTAAAAGTACTTGCTTTTGTTTTCTTATTTAGATTACACCGTTCGTTAGTTATAATAGAAGCAACAAATTGTTGCATCTCACAAAACGGAGCATTAAACTGATGCACCATCTTTTGAACGTGTACACAAACGCCCTGTATAGATACACGGAAATTATGCTTTAAATTTAGATGCAAAAATGCTTGTTACCTTGTTAATATAAGATTTAAAAAGAATCCATGGTCTATATATTAAACTACTTATAACCCATGTGAGATCACGGGTCCCTTAGAAAATATAAGAATTGCTTGCTTATTAGCTTTCTTAGCATACTCGAAAGGTTGGACCATAGTGACATATGGATGTCGATGAACACGGGTTATAGCTTCGGTGATCATCATGTATAACTACCAACTTAACCTGTGCGACAGCTAGGGTCCTCTGTTAGTTACTATTAGTTTAAAAGAAATATTATCAGCTATTTTAAATATTAACTTAAAAAATTACACTGTTTTTCATTTTTCTTATAAATAGTTATATTAATGTTTTTCATCACTAACAAAATTTAACATAATTAATGAGTAATTAATTAGATCTTTTAAGTATATGTGAATTCTTAAGTCTTAACTATATGTATAAAAAAATTAAGAGAATAAATTTCACTTTAATGGTTAACAAACCTTTATTTTACAAAATTATATATATATATATATATATATATATATATATATATTTGTCCTTTTCATCTAATTTGTTACAGTAGTCAACATAAGTGGCACTAACTCATTTAACCTTACTCAAAATGGCGCTGTATTTCGTGGTCCCCTCACGTTCCTTTTCTTGTTTCATCTCCATGTTCGTTGGCAAAACTTTGTACCTACCTTAATCATTGTGGCAAAACACTGTTTGAGAGCAATAACAATGGGGGCGTGCATGAAGGGAAGACACTCCGATATGGTGTTGGTTCTCGAAAGCTTTGGATGCTTGGCAAATGGTGGGTTTGATGGGTTTAGGAAAGAAGTGAAGCTAATTGTTTCTTTGACATATATGGTGATAGATGAGATAAAGGTTTGTGAGTGTGTTGGTGATGTGTGGCTAGTGACAAAGTTACAATTAGTTAGGACACATGATGGTAGCGGTGGTTCATAGCTTTGTCAATTTGTTGCTGTGAAGGGAATGCCATCGTGTGTTTTAGTTCACGATGGGCTTTGATGGGGTGGTTCGATGGGTCAGGAGAATAGGTTACAATAATGGTTCCACGAGAACATGGGGTGGTGAAGTGTTGTCTTTATATATAGTATGAGAAAAATGCATTGGGAGCTCATGAGTAACGTAGCAGCGGTTCAGTTAACATGATGACGAGGAGGTTCCTGAAGGGAATGTAAACGATGTCTAGTGTATATGATATTTGTTCATGGTAGAGAAGATGATGATTACTGTTGTGAGCAAGGGAAGAAATTGATCCCATGATGGTGATGGTTTTCACAATGGAAAACTTTGCGGTTTGGCAAGACTTGAAGTCAAAATTCATTGCACCTTTTCTTCCTAGCTATTTAGTTCTGTCAAAATGGGGATGTGGAGTTCTGTTGACTGTCATGAAGATAGGGATGTTTTTATATGGGATAAATTATATTCATATTAAATATAATACTGTGTATCTTTTTTAATTACATAAATTACTCTTATTTTTTTATACAATTATATGAATAAAAATATAAAATATAAAATAAAACTTTATTAAACTGAAAAATATAGATATAATTTATCCTTCAATATATTAGTTGCCATGGATATGGATAAGCAAGGATATAAAAGCTCGGGAAGAGAAAAGATCCTAATGGAAGAAAATGTTATATCTTTTACTGTTTACGTAAATAAAACTATGAAAAAATAGTACCCGCAATGTAAGTAAAACACGCATGTATTTTAAAATAATGATGCTAGTATATGAGTTGTTTTATACGCACATTCAACACACAATGTAATAAAAATTTAAAATTTAAAATAACTAAAATTGAATTGGCAATCGAAAGATGGACTCAATGACTAAGAGTGACGATTTACATAAAAATTATTGAGGTATAGAGGTTTGACAGATTTGAGATGAGGGACAACGATGGTGAGCAGTGAATATGAAGAAAATTAGGTCTATTTAAATTGCAAGATGGGTAATGGTTATTGAAACTCTTCCAAGGTGCAGCCGAGTAGAGTGATAGACTAAATGCGATTTTAGGCAACAATACGGAAGAAGAAGATGAATGATGATCAGTTGATGAAAAATTTTTAATACCCGAAAAATTAAAGTAAAACAAATATATGTTAAAATAAAATATTGATATTATTTTTGTCATGTGATTAATTATAAATGTTATTGTTTTATTATTATTTAACAGTAAATAATTTTAATAACTAAATTAGAGGACAGAGGTAAGGTAATATTAGAGATTATTAAAGATATTTTAAGTCTTTGGAAACTAATTTAGAATTTTATTTAATAATTTTATATTAAGATAAAAAGTATTAAAAATTAAATTTTAAGTTAAATTTATTTATTTGAATTATTTTAAAAAGTTTTGTTTATCATCTATTTATCTTTATTCATTTAAATAAATAAAACACTAATCCAAATAACATCTTATTTATATTTATTTTATATCCGTATCTTTTTATTTTGTTTCTTCACATTTTAAGTAGAAATGATCGTCACTTATGCCTATAATATAATGCACTGGAATTAATGAGAAAAGCTTACGCTGGACTAAGATATAATTATATAAATTACAAGATCAATTTGAAAAATATAAATAAAATATATATATTATTTATTTTAATATTAATTTTTCTGTCTTATCATTAAAAATTGCGAGAACTTCGTCTCATCTACAAAAACAAATCTGCTAATAGCAGAATCGAAATTCACCTTCACTCTCCGATCACCTCAGCAACCTTTCTCTTCTTCCTCTCTCAGATTCATAGCAATGAGCTGGTGGTGGGCTGGAGCTATAGGTGCTGCAAAGGCAAGCATACCCCATAACACCTTTCACTCTTCCTTTTCCTTTTCTTTATCTATTTTCTAATTATTGTTTCTTCTTCCCCTGCAGAAGAAGTTCGATGAAGACGAAGCGCCGCGAAGCTTCCAGAGCGTGGGATTGGTCATCGGTGTCACCGGCATCGTCGGCAACAGCCTCGCCGAGATTCTACCTCTCGCCGACACCCCCGGTGGTCCATGGAAAGTCTACGGCGTCGCACGCCGGCCACGACCGTCGTGGAACGCCGATCACCCCGTCGAATACATCCAGTGCGATATCTCCGATCCCAACGACGCCCAAGCCAAACTCTCCGTCTTGACGGACGTCACCCACATCTTCTACGTTTCCTGGACCAACCGACCCACCGAGGCCGCAAATTGCGAAGTTAACGGCGCTATGTTACGGAACGTCCTGCGCGCCGTTATCCCAAACGCCCCCAATCTCCGCCACGTGTCCCTTCAGACAGGTGGCAAACACTACCTAGGACCCTTCGAGCTTATCGGAAAGATCAAAAGCCACGAGCCACCGTTCACAGAGGATCTACCGCGTTTGGATGCACCGAATTTCTATTACACTCAGGAGGATATTCTGTTCGAGGAGACCGAAAAGAAAGAGGGTTTATCGTGGTCCGTTCACAGACCCCAAGTGATCTTCGGATTCTCTCCTTATAGCTTGATGAATCTGGTGGGAACGGTTTGCGTTTACGCTGCTATTTGCAAGCACGAGGGTGTTCCCTTGAGATTCCCCGGAACTAAAGGCTCGTGGGAGTCTTACTCTGTTGCTTCCGATGCGGATTTGATTGCCGAACAACACATTTGGGCTGCGGTGGATCCCTATGCTAGGAACGAGGCTTTCAATTGCAACAACGGTGATGTGTTCAGATGGAAGCATCTTTGGAAGGTTTTGGCGGAACAGTTTGGGATTGAGGATTATGGGTTTGAAGAGGGTTCGAATTTGAGGTTGTCTGAGTTAATGAAGGATAAGGGTTCTGTGTGGGATGAGATTGTGAGGGAGAATCAGCTTCAGCCTACTAAATTGGAAGAGGTTGGTGATTGGTGGTTTGCGGATCTCATTTTTGGAGGGGAGGGTGTGTTAGATAGCATGAACAAAGCCAAAGAGCATGGATTTTTGGGGTTCAGAAACTCTAGGAGTTCCTTCATTACTTGGATAGATAAGACCAGAGCTTACAAGATTGTGCCTTGAAGTTCAATCCTCTTCCTGGTCTTGGTTATTTTGTCGTGTGGGTCTATTTCTGCTTTTATTATTTTTCCTTATTTATATGAAATAAATTAAATGAAACTCGAGGGTATGAGTGCTCTAACGAAAGAGATTTATGTTTTCTATTCTGTTTCTATTTTGTAATAATGCTGCACTGGGATTTAGTTACGTGTTTTGAGAACAAATGTTGTTCCTGCGATCCTCAGTTCTTGTATCTACAAAAAGAGGAAGCAAAACTACATTGAAAGAAACGCAAATACCACAATTTCCGGAGAGGTGGCTCATATTTCTTCCACTTATATCTTCTTCACTAAAGAAGGATTTGTAATTTAATGGATAAACGTCATGATACAAGTTGATTGACTGCTAGTCTAAGACAAGAAAAATCGACGATTGGCCATAATACACTGAGTCAATTGTCGTATTTGAGGTAGTTGCTTTGCATAAACATATTTTTGATAATTTTTTGTTCGTAAATGACCAAAATAATGGTTGCCGTGTACTGCAGACTGCTCTGGAAAGTGATATTAATCACGAAAAAAATATTGAGTGATAATCTTGGGGGTGTGTATATATATATATATATATATATATATGCTGATACAACGAATAATTAGTGGGAGAGAGAAAATATTTGAGAACGATAGAAGAGTGTTTCTAGTTTGTTCCTAGAATAATTGAGATTTGATTGAAGCAAGCCTGATTTGGAATTATCCTTTACGCGTTCCCGCAAAATCGGGTTCCATGAAGGGGTACTGGATCAAAGATGCAGATCGCGTTGGCCTGAGATTGCCTTGTTTAATCCATCTTCAAGTTGGTCACGCATTGAACTTTAGTCCTTCGTGAAAGCTGGATTGACAGACAAGTACATGTTGCATTGATATCTTGTCACAAATAAATTAGATTTTTGTTAATTTTGATGCTTCCCCGTCACGGGTTTGGATGACTTGTGTTTTCTAGGACTGTCCCCCCAAAAAAAAATGTATTCAATTTATTCGATGAGATGTTAGAAAGGAACATAAACATATAGATACCACTGCAAGAGTAACCGCACATCTAGTTTTAAAGTTAATATTTATTTACAAATTAATTATTATAAAAATAAATAAATTTTAATATTTATGTAAATGTTTTAGTGCACATTAATCACTATCATTTTAGTATCATTAAAAAGTTATTCAATAATATTAAATTAGTAAGAATCAAACTTATATATAAACTAAATCTATTTTTTTTAGATATAAAAACTAATTTATAAACAAAAATCAACTATATTAACTAAATGTATATTTTAACTAAAAAATTATAAAGTACTCAGATTATACCTCTTAGCTTTAAAATTGTTCTAATGCTATTCAGCAATAATTTAACATTATAAATAAATTATTGCAAATTGTAACTATATTTTATTATGATTCTGGAATTAAGAGCATTTAGTCGAATAAGCAGAAAAGATGAAAATACATTTAAACATTTTTTTGGTAATAGAAAATATATTTCAACTTAAAAATTTATCATCAAAGATGCAAAATAGTTTTTTCGGCCTAGTTCCCAAAAAGTAATCATAAAGAGTGGAGTTAGGTATCGGGTCTGAGTCGAGGTCCAGATTGAGTTTCTACTTCTAGGTCCACATGGCCTAAAAAGAAAACTGTTTCTACACTTGACTAGTAATTACTCTTGACCAAAATAAATAAATAAAATATAAAGACTAGTTAATTACTATTATACCTTGAATTCTTTCACTCGCTACTTTGCATAGCCAGAAAGAAACAAATGGTTATCACAAACTTCAACGGAACCGGCGTTGGATTTGGTATGGTGATTTGGGTGTTACGATTTCTGCATTTTCAGAATTTCAAATCCCTAACTCACGCTAGTATCTATTTTTCAGGTTTCGGTGTAGGTTGCGGTTTCGGTGTAGGATGGGGTTTCGGAGGTATGTCGCTGCGAGCTGCATTATTTTTCTCTGCTTCACTTTCATTTCTGACTTCTTTAAACCGAAACATTTTATACATTTTCTACCTTTTAAATTTCATTTTAAGTGCCCTATGGCCTCAATTTTGATATTTGGCTCGTTGATCTTAGAATTATGAGCTTTTATCCCCTCTGTTTGTTAGAAATCTTTTTGAGTTGCTGTAATTTAGATGTAGTTTCCAATTTCATTTTTAATTATTTTATTCGGATTTTAATATTTTCGTTCCTGACGAATTTGTTAGATATGCTCGTATAACTGACACTGTGTTGGTATTTGGATACTATTGAATCTGGATAATAGGGAGGAGCGGGGAAATGGAGTTAGATGGAAAGATTTTAATCATCACTCGTAGTCTCTTAGTAGAGAATGGAAAATGGGTGGACATCACTTCTGGACTTATAATTTAGGAACTTATCTCCTTAAATCATTTTATTTTCTACTCCAACATATGCTTGTTGAGAACTTTATCCAAATTGACTCTTAACTCACTTTCATACTATGGGATTACTCATTATAGGCCAAACATGGTGGCGTGGGGTGAAAAATATTGCACTCCACTCTCTATCATCACTCCTTTCCACTCTTCTGTGGCATCAAGAAAGTGTTAATTTTCATTCCAAATTTTTCTCCACCCTTCTCAAATTCTGTTTATCTATAACTATCCTTGGTCCAGCCTTCTGTTAAATATCAGTCTCAGTTTCCTCTTTTTATTTACTTGTGTATGGTGTGTGAATTTTACCCTCTAGCTATGTTAACCATTTAATTTATGAACAATTTACATTCTCTTCTGAAGGTCTCATTCCTCAGTACACTCCCTCTCCCTCCCATATTACTTTGATGGATAAAAGTAATGTCTGAAAATTTCTATTTTTAAATTGAAGTTGATATATGGGAGCTGGAGTGCAGGATTTGGTTATAGATGGCGTACTTCCTACTTTATAGACACGTCATATTTATCTGCCTTCTCACTCTTTGTTTCAAATTGTCTAATGCTCTGATTTTATGGAAATTATCATTTATGGTATTAAAGCTACGTAAATGATTAATTTCTTTTATGGGTTTTGAATTGTGAATCCGATATAAGAAAGTATATTGGCTTTCTTAATCATGAGGTAGATCAATAGAGAGTAGGGAGACTTGCTGTTGATATCTCTTATTTTGAACTGACTACTTGGCAAGCTTCATTCATTTGATTGGACCTATGTATACCTGTTTTATTTTTCTACCCTGTAGTTCTGAGAACAATTGTTATAATGTTGGTCTTACCTACATTATGTTCTATCTGTGTATCAAAAAGCTTGGAAAAAAGGCAGTATCTTACTATTGCCTGGCTTCTTCCTTTTATAACCATGGCAAATTGATGACCCAGTTGCTCCATTCTTTTGTGTATTTTCCTGTAAAAAATGATGCATAGTTAAATTGTCTGAATGAGAAAATCTGTATTCAGTAATGACATCTGTTTTAAATATTACTGTATTCTCCAAATTGAGGCATAATCCGAGCCTCTCTTTTTTTATGTAATTTTTGTCAGTTTATCTCAGCAACTGCTCCGGACGTAGTATTTTTTTTTACCCCTCTCACTTTTCTTATTACATTACAATTATCTTATCTGATCTGTTGTCTTTGTCTGTTGGACAGGTATGCCATTGAACTTATTGGGTCTTGGTGCAGGTATAATACTCATGAATCTTGCTTCCTTCTTTGTTTCTTAGTTTTAATTTTAGTATTTAATGGCTATGGTATGCTATATGAAGTGGGTAGCCTTTTTCTTCCCGAACCCTAATCTTACAGGTTAAACCCAAAGACCTCTTCTTCAAATGTACCTGTTGTTTGACTTGTAGTGAATTGGTTGCTTAAAAATATACCTTTGACCCCCTGAAAGTTGTTTCCCTTCATTACTTTTTATTTGTGCAGATTAAGAAAATTTTGTTTCTATTTAACTATTCATTTAGAAATATAAGACAATATTAATTGTTAACTTTAATTATGTAAATATTTCTACTTATTTTTAAATACTTTACATACTTACCCTAAATGAGAGAGAAATAATAGTGGGGTTTATATGAAGAAGTTAATATTAATTTTGATTTAAACAGGGATGTTAACTGTGTTATCCCCCTAGAGGAAAAATTGAATCGGAGGGGGTTAATTAGCTTTTTTGTCCCCTTACACACTCAAGTAATGTTGGCATTGTACCTTTTTTTAGTTCTGCCTACGGTATGTGTTGTTGGATTTTTTTAAAATTATTATTATTATAAAAATACAATTTTGGTCTATGTGAATGAGACTCATTTACAATTTTGTTCCTACTCAAAAAAGTTTTCAATTTAGTCCGTTTATGATTATCAAATTGGCCTGTTCTTGTTATAATACTGGGATTTAACTCTTCTAAATTTATGGATTTACTTTAAAGAGTAAATAATTATAGCCAATTAGTCATTCATTGAAATGCTTGAGATTTAAATTATGATTAATTATACATGTGCATGCATTTTATTATAATCTCAATCATTAATCTTGAAATCAATGGTTTTATTTCCTTACTTTACGAATGCACTTTAGAGGAATGAAATTCTACTACTAAATGTTGCTTTTATATTTTCAATATAACGACCATAAGCATATATATTTTTTGGCCTATGTAAGTAGCAATAATTTTCAATTTTAGTTCTGTATTTCACGATAACACAATGCGAATCTCACATCGTTGTAAGGTAATAGCAGGTAAAAGTGATTGTGCATACTAATGGGGACCAAATCAGAAATTAGTGTTATCTACAAGGCCCGATAATCGATTTTCACCCTTTTTGGTATGAACTAATATTAAGAATATAAACTTACATATTGAATTTGGTATATTGGATTTTATTTTGAAGGTGGAGGCTGTGGCGTTGGAGTAGGACTTGGTTGGGGGTTTGGGACTGCATTTGGTAGTAAGTATAGGTCATCACGGATCACATTTCAAGGAGTGGAATTTGATAGTAAGGAGAAAGGTAACAGCGCGGAGTTCTCAAAACCCAATCCCGAAGTAGGAGGTGCACGGTAGCTTCTGTAAATTGCTGGTCAGTCTGTGGACATAAATTGCGTTTGTAATAACAAAAAAGAAGCCACTTTCAAATTAAAAAAGAAAAGAAAAAGCCCAGTGGAGAGACAACAGTACTGTACTTGCGACTCTCAGTTTTATTATTCTTTCAGGTCATCGCCACTGCGGTGCCTGTTACAGGGGTTTCCTGGGTAATCGCTGCAATTAGTTACGGTTTATGATGTGAACGATATGAAGCCAAGTATCTTTGGACATTGTGAACGGATCTTTTTTTTGTCACTGTCATTTCATGGTCGTCTGGTTTCTCAATTCTCGTTGTTGTCTTTTTTCTTTCTTTTTCTGGATATATTTTTTCAAATGATTAGCTAACAGGAATTTGGTGTAATACATGTGACATTTAATTTTAGGTAATATGAAAACATTCTCATATTAAAATAAGGTATTTTACGATTATTTGTAAATTAAAAAATATTTTATATCTGTTAATATGAAATAATTATCACTGATAATTTTATATTATATTTTTATAATAAATAATAGTATTAGTAGTTTATTTATAAAAAAATTAAATATTTTTTAATTTTTAAGATGTTATAATAATTTAAAAAGAGTATAAGATAGACTTTTAGGTTTATAATTACTGTATCAAAGGGCAAATTTATTTAAATAATGCTAATTTAAAAATAAATTCTCAAATTAAGTTTATTTTTAAACATATTCTCTGTTTGGTGCGAATTTTTGTCAGATCAGCAATTATATCGCATCTGCTTGGACGATAAACGTGAAGACTGTAATTATACCGCTAGATTTTATTTTTTTTACAATGCATCAACCAATGTATGTGAACATGTGGCCGGTGTCCACTTGTATCGCGCTCTGCAAGGCGATAAAGCTGATGCAGCTGGACCACCGATTGAGCTATCATTTGCAAAAGGAAGAAAGAGCTTAACATTTTGCACTATCATTTGCGTCAATCTAAAGGAAGAAAAAAAGGTTTACGTTTTGCACTCTTCACACATTTGCCTTGTATGCTGAAAGAACACAAAGCTTGACGTTCCTAAAAAAGTCTTACGTTCGTGAAGCAAAAATTTTAGTAAACCCAGGTAACTTGAGTTTTTCCAGTATGCGTGTTATTTTATTTATTGAGTTTAGATAAAATTTTATAATTTGTATTTGTTATGGAAAAAAATTTTCTTTTTATTTAGTAGTTAAAATAAACTTGAATAGTGTGATAGAAATATATATATATATATATATATATATATATATATATATATCAGATAAAATAATGTATATAAACTGTTATGATATTTGATTTTAATATGTTTGTAGTATTTTATTATGTATTAGTAATTTAAAAATTTGTATAAAATATTGAAAATAATTAAAAAACTGTGAGAAGAAATGTAAAAATGATGTAAAATAATTTAACAGAATTAATAAAATTATTTTGAAATTAAATTGATATAAAAAAATATGCCTGATTTGAGTAAAAATTTATAATCTTTATAAAATAAAATTAGGCATATAAAGTTATGTTTAATAAAATTCATTATAACCTGTTTGTAATAGGTTATGTTGTTTTTTATGCAAAAAATTTAAACAATTTAATGTTTAATTTATGATGATATTAAAATATAATTATACTAATTTTATTGTGTTAAAAAATTGTAGAAAAATTTTATATATTAATGCAATATTATTTAATAAAATCTATTTGGTGTTGCATATGTGAATTTTTAATAAAATAAGTTTGGTTACGTAAATAGGCAAATATTTGTGATTATAGTTGATGCAGTATGTATGATGCAAAATATAAATAATTTAGAAAAAAAATATTTATTTTGACTGATCAAGATTGTTGTTTGTGGATTTATTTTGTTAATGCAGGATGACTAATTTTGTGATAATAGTATATTGGAATGGTCGAATATTCTCAAGTAACAAGGGTGTTACTTTTGAAGGAAATAATAAAATGATTAAAATTGAACGTGAAATTTGTTTTGAGACATTGAAAGGAAAGATTCATAAAAAATTTAAGTTGTCTACTAATCATGTTTTATCTAGATTGATTTTACGATTTTTAGTAGACCCAATTGGTAGACAATACACGATGATTGATATATGTGATGATGAAGATGTTGATTGTATGTTAAGTGCCTTTTCAAAACAAAATCAGAGAAGTGCAATTGAAGTATATGCATATATTGTGTCAGGTGAAAGTTCTTGTATTCGGTCAGAAGGTGTTGACTTAAATATTTCATTTTTACATGACATTACAAGTGAAGATGATGAACCTCATTTTGGATTAGGTATAGTAATATTTTTGGTTTAGGGTTTATAATATTAAATTTCTTATAACTTATCTTTATGTTATAACAATTTTGATGGTTATGTAGAAAGTGAAAATGAGGATGAAGAAGGTGATGACAACAAAAATGAATAGGATTTCTCAACAGGTAGTAAATCTGATACTAACATGGAGAGTGAATTTAATTCCATATTAAATAGTCATGAAAATGCACAACATGGAGGTAGTAATGTTTATGGTTTGATTTATATGTTTCATGAAAAAAGTTTGACAACTGTTGCATTTCGTTTTAATGCAGGCGTGATTGAAACTCCTTTTTAGAATTCAAGTTGAAATTATACTTACATTAATTGGGAACATGCTAATCAAGAATTGAAAAATTTAGATATTCATGTAGATGAAGCATGAAAGAAGGGTGATCCATTGTATGTTGGCCAAGTGTTTGACTCTAAAAATGATGTAAACATGGCTATTAAACATTTTGCAATGAAGGCGCATCAAAGTTATTTTGTGGTGGAATCAAAACCAACAAAATTATATGTAAAGTGTCCAAATCATACAATTGGATGCCCTTGGAGAGTTAGAGCAACATTGGGCAAAAAGTACGACAAGTGGAAAATCACAAGATGTGGTGGAACACATACATGTGTTAATCTAATGATGTCTCTAGACCACAAAAAACTTGATTCAAACGTCATTAGCTCTTGTGTTCTTGGTAAGTTTTACTAAAGTAATTATAGATATTTATTTGAAGATTGTTAAATTTATTGAAGAACGTTACTAAATTTCATATTCTTAAATGTTGTAGGTATGTTAAAAGAACAATCATCGGTGCCAATCACATTAATTCAAGAAAGAATTAATGGTCAATTTGGTTATCAAGTTTCTTACAAGAAAGCATGGAAGGAAAAACAAAAAGCTATAGTAAGGATTTTTGGTGATTGGGATGAATCATATGCGACATTGTCTAGATGGTTAGAATACATGCAATTACATGCTCCTGGGTCTGTTTATAAGATTGAAACCAATGACTATGTGAGGGGTCACCAAGTTGACAATAAATACAAAGTATTTCATCGGTTATTTTGGTCATTCAGACAATGCATAAGTGCTTTCAATTTTTGCAAGCCTTTAATACAAGTTGATGGTACATTCTTGTATAGTAAATACCGACAAACTTTATTGATAGCTACCACTCAAGATGGAAATAATTGTGTGCTTCCAATTGCATTTGCAATTGTGGAAGGGGAACTTTGTCAGCATGGGAATGGTTTTTGGCTCTCATTCGTCTTCATGTTATACATAAGGCATGTATCTCTTTAATATTTGATAGACATCAAAGTATAAAAGGTGCAATTTCTAATCCACATATTGGATGACAACCTCCCAATGCATATCATGTGTATTGCATTCGTCATATAGCAAGCAATTTTAATCAACGATTCAAGAATCCTATTTTGAAGAAAGAGTTGATAAAATTAGGTACATATTGTGTTGTTTTAATTTACATAGAATTAAGTGAAAAGAATATTATTTTTACAATTACTTTTATGTCATTTGTTTTAATAGCATACATAGCATGCAAAGACAGATTTGAAGACAAATTGCAACGATTTCTTAATCAATCAGAGGATATAAAAAGCTGGATCGATATCTCCAAAGAAAAGTGGAGTTTGGCCTACGACGATCAAGGAAGGCGTTATAGACATATGAGAACAAATTTATCAGAGGCAGTTAACAAAATTTTTAAAGGAGCAAGGAATTTGCCAATAGCAGCACTGGTAAAATGTATGTATTCACGTTTAGTTGAATATTTTGTTAAGCGTGGTGAAGAAGTAACAAGAGAACTAAATAATGGTAAAAGACTTTGTCATAAATTAATGCAACAAATGGCAAAAAATCAAGAGGAAGCGTCTTCATATCAAGTTCGACGATATGACATTGAAAGAACAAGGTTTGAAGTAGAAGAGGCATTTAATCCTGTCACGCAACGAGGTGGTAATAAGTTTGCTGTGATATTATTCAATCAATATTGCCAATGCAGAAAGTTTCAATTGTATCGATTTCCATGCTCTCATGTCATAGCTGCTTGTACATTAGTCAGTATAGATTATTGGCAATAGGTTGATCCTGTATATTTGATGCAGTATGTTGTGAATGCATACTCATCGCAATGGTTCCCTCTTGGAAATGAAAATAACATATTAACATCCAATGAGTGGACGTTATTACTTGACGTGCATAGAATGAAGGGAAAAGGTCGACCAAAGTCCTCACGTATTAGGAATGAAATGGATTGGGTGGACTCTCAACCACGTCAACGATGTCCTTTGTGTAAACAAATTGGTCACAACCGTCGTCATTGTCCAATACAAAGGCGAACAACCGAGAATAATCTGTAATAGAGTTTTAGTCGTTATGATTGTGGTGATGGAACCAATTTCATTGTGGTTAGTATTAAGTGTTTGTGATAATTTGAGTATGTTGTGTAATTGTTTAATTTGGACTGTTTACGTTGGGGTACTTCTTATCGAAGTTTTTAAATTGGTTTACATTTTAATGTTGGTAACATTGCTGTGGTGGCAAGAGATGCACATAATGGTAAAAGACGCATGTGTTCCTTCACAGGTGGACAAGGTATATTTGTAATACTTTCATGGTCAATTTACGTATA